AGTCACACTGTGTCCTCACATAGTTGAAAAGCAATATTATAAATAGCATCCTTTTTCCACAGGTTCTGTGTAAACTATAAAAAGAATACATTTATTTCTTGCAAGTCTTTACACTAAAAAATCAGAAATAAGGCCAAGAAAACAATAGATAAATATATTAGATTCTTATTAAATCCAATATCTTTTAACTAGATATTTTCCAGTTCTTTCTACTAAGAAGGTACAAAACAGAGAACGTAGTCCATACAAAGTAGAAAGGAAAATATTTAAACTAAAATAAAACGGAGCTTTTCCCTCTCTCCAAATTTATATGTGCAAATTACTTTTTTACCTTTCAAAAGTGACCTGTGAGTAAGAGGGTGCCATTTTCATTTGATACTATAAGCAAAAACATCATTCTACTTCAATATTTATTTCGGGGGGGGGGGGAAGGTTTCATTCCTGTTCCTAGAAAGTGAGATTTTACATTGCAGTTTCACATTTGGCATGGGCTGGCATATTTGTTGGCACAAACTGAAGGTTTACTGTGGCTTAAGAAAGTCTTACAGTCTCCTTAACTAGAAGCTAGTGTTGTCAAGCCTACTGCTAGATGTACACAAGGCCTGTCATTTGTGGCCCCCGTACCCCATGAGGGTATAAAAGAAAACAGCATTGTATTGCTGAGTTCCAAATCAAGGCTTCATAAAATCCATGTCGATTTGGGCAGCAGAGGTTCCCTGGGAAGATGTAGCCCATCTTTCTGGAAAGCTATGTTTGTACCCTTCACTGTGGTTCTGCGTGTGAAACTGGATGCCTGTCCTTTACTCCCTGCCTTTTTTGAGGCACATACACCAAACCTCTCTCTCTGCTCTGAACTTTCCCATAAACAACCTTCTGAGACCGAATCCCTATGCCAGCAGGAAAGAGGAGGTAAACATTATTTCTTGTACTTTGCCCCGGGGGATCCTAAATTAAAAGCTTGACAGAGCATCCTAGATTTGCTCAGAGAAGCCCTGCCAGGCTGGAAACCCAGAGATGGTGCAGTGCAGAGACGACTGCGTGTACTCTTTCACGTATCGTAGTTTATCCACAGCTTATCTGTGGATAACTCAGTGCTTTGAACTTGGGCTGGGGATGCCTGCATACCATAGCTGTAGCTTACCAAACTCGGCAATATAATTTCTTGATTATATTGAACTTTTCAGTAACAAGCGGTTATGTGGGTCTGTGAATAGGAAATAATCTTATTTTGGGAAGGTCCTGCTAAAAATTGTATTAGTTTCAGTAACATACGTATCAAACATCTATATTAGTATAAGATGTCCTCTAAGGAAGTCAGTTATATTAGGGTCTTGTCTTACATATTAGGCATTATTATGTCCCTTACGTTAGGAAAGTCAAGCTGTGTTTTCAGCATTGTGACACCAGTGAATTGGAATTAAGAATTGATGAAAGGTTGATGTTAAGTGATTAAAGAAGACGTTTGGAGGACTACCTGATGAGTGGATCTAGCTCATATAGCCTTATGCAGGTTGGACAATTTGGGTATAAAAGGCTGTGTTTGTCAGTGGAGGAGATATCTCCACCTTCCCGGATTTCCAGTCTCTGATAGCTGCAATTTGTTTTGTTCTGGCCAACACAATGAGTTTTGAGTGTTACAAAGGCTTTGTGATGTTAATAATGGATATTACACAAATATTTTGTTGTTTCTCCTGCAAGAACACAACTTTTTTAAAAATAATACTTGCATTAACTTCTTTTGTGGTCGATTAGAAGGATAATTAAAGAGTAGGTGTTAAACTGCCTAATTGTCAGTAAGCTGTATGCTGTATACAGAGAAAAATCCCAGTCATTGGGATCTCCAAAATGTGCAGTTCAATAATACTAATAATAGTTCTGGGGAGACAGATCACTGAAGCTTTTGTTTTTCATTAAAAGGGACAAGAGCTACATAACCTGTCCTCTAAGATCAGATTTCTAACACTAGGGATCAAGTTGGGATTGGCTTTATCATTGAGGAAAGCCAAAACTAAATTCACTGACTGATGAAAGAAAGGCGAACAGAGATTATTCTTGTATCATTAAGGATGACAGTTATTTGCATATGGAATATATTATAACCTTTTGTGTTATTGTCAGACAAACTTGTTAATATTCACAGAGAGCTGTCCGCAACAGCTTTCTCCATACAGGGTTTACTGCCTTGAATGTTTGCTAAATTCCCAAAGCATGGAATAGAATTTGCTTTGAAGGTCAGTAATTGTTTACATCATTTATTTATAAAAATTTTTGGAGATTAAAAGGAATGTGGAAGACCTTACAGCATCTTTCCAGACATGGTTCTTTCCAAGTAACAACACCCAGATAGTAAATCTTTTAAAAATCAAATTTTCTTGGGTGATTGTATGGTAAATTTTATTAAATGAAAAGAAAATCTAATCAGTTATAAACTCCCTCCCCACTTGCTCGAGTAGCCCTAAGAGGCTAATAAACTGTAAGCTTCAGCACTGAAAAAAATGGAACTATTAAATCTGTATGAAACTAGTTGTTTCAGGGCTTTCCTTCCTTTTATGAATGGCGTTGAGTTTCTGAAGTCTAGTGACATGTCATAAGATATTCTCCTCATCAGCAGCTTAATGGAGACAGATTACCCTTCAGGTGCCTTAGAAAGAATAATACCATTGCAAAGAGGTTAAAAATCGAGGAAAATAATGGATTTTGATAAATGAAAGTTGTGGAAATCAAATATCTGTTGCTATTTTTGTCTCTTGCTTAAAAACAATCATCATGGTCTTGATCATCTTTTATGTCAATCAGGGCTTATTCTTCATCAATCGTTGTCAGTCACTGAAGCAATAAGAAGGGGCATTATATTATGCAATCACTGTGCTCACATTTACCCAATGCTGTGCAGGAAACTGCTGCCTCTCCCAGTTTATCTGTGCTTTCCTAGTGTATCAAATATACGGTTATGCGAAGGTTCAGCTTCACCTTACAGCTGCCAGATATTACAGTAAAGTGAATAAGGCCACCAGGAAAAGGGATGAGCACTAGCTTCTCAGGCTTGTTATGAAAGGTCAGTCTGAGAATTTCAGAGAGGGCAAAGGGACTGCATTTTAATGGCACTGTGCTGATGAGTCTCCCAGGTGCCTTTGAAAATCCTTGCTAAAAGCTTACAGGGAGCATTTTTTAAAATAAAGTAAAACAATTGATTTTTCAAGCACTGAAGAAAGACTTCTGAAAATGATGTGGACAATTTTCATATATATTTAATGAGTACTGTTTCAGTTTAAGCTTTTAGGCGCAGGCTGTAAATCTTGATTGTGTGTTTATCTTTTGTTGAGGGACATATGAAATAGAAATATTATTTGTAATTTTTTTTACTATTACCATAAATAAATGCATGTAGGCAACCCTTAGCTCCTGAAAGCTGTCATACATCTACGTGAATCAAAACATCATATCTTTCAGTAACTGAAGATATTTTTCATTGTCCTATGAAACTATTTAGCAATCATGATAAAAATTAAGTGGAGTTATGTATCATATTTATCAATGCAAATCATATTCTGATAAGTGTTCTTTCAATCATTAGATCTCTACTAGACAGGTATAAGTCCCAAGAGTGCAGCCTTTGCCTGTATCTTGTCTACAGCTTGTCAAAAATTGCTCTCCAAGTAATTTTCAAAGAAAAAAATTATGCTTCCAGTTACATATGTGTTTTACAAAAAGTGCATACATTAGGCACACTTTTTTTTTTACCAGAGCACATATCCAGAAATATGTTTGTTTTGAGAGTTTTGTTTTCCAAAATATCATTAGCCCACGTTAATCTAGTCATTTTAAAGGCTTAGACGACTAATTTTAGTTAAGGCATCTACTGTTTTCTATAGGGAACTAATGAGCAAAAACTTTGCTTTTAGCAAAAACTAGGCTTTAGCAACAGTGACAAGCCATATCGTCCCAGACAGTTTGCAAAAGGGATGTGGACTCAGTTCTTAGTTTTATGCATAAACATTATAGCAGGGCTTCATTTTCATATGTACTGTGTATTTGCAACCCTTTTAGAGTCACAGGGAACAAAATCCAATAATAATGGTCATGAGGTAAGAAAGCATAATTATATGTTAAATATTTGAATAAGGACAAATTGATTATTAAAGTTTTATTTTTCTATTTTCATGTCTTGAGAAATATCCCTTCTGTTATTACTGAAAAGAAAAATAATCTCAGTGGGGGCCAAAACATATTGGCCAAGCAAAGACAGGAAGGCTGAGCTTTCTCAAGGGCAGCAAGTAATACTTATATTGCAGATGCTTGTGCTATTCCTGTAACAGGCCTGATCCTGCACAACTGAGATCAAAGGATGTTTTTCACTTCACTTCATTGAAGAAAGTTTTATGTGGAAAAATAGAGCTAGTTCTACAGTTCTGATAGTTTGGTCCAAATCCCATAAACAAAAAACTGAATAAATGGACACATTCAGGCTTGACTGAATACATTTTTTCTTCTTTTAAATAAGCCATGCATGCTGATGAAGAACTAAAAAAAATTTGACCTTGAAAACAATAAAAACCTATTCTTAGTGAAGCCCCCTGTTAGGAAAAGAAAGTAAAGTGTTCTTATGTAGTTTTCATTGATCATGCAGATTTTCTGCTGTCATAAACTTTGAAATGTATTGAATGTATTGATTAATTTAATATATGATCTTCCTTAAAAGCCAAAGCTGTAAATAATCATATCTATTAAAATAAGAATTAATTAGATGAATGAATAACAACAATGCCTGATTTTTATGGTATGCCTAGCTACTTAACATACAAAAGAATTGCATTCAAACTGGGAAAGGAAAATTTGTTTTAATTCAACCATTGCATTAGTACCAGGTGTCTGATGAGGGTTTTTCTTCTCTTATTGACCCGACTTGTGTTCAAAGATGCCTTTATTTAGAAAGAAATGCAGTTGTCAAGCAAGAAAGGCAACTGAACCCCTTTACTAACTTGTTGTCTTTACTATTTCAGAGCTGCAAGAAACTAAGACCTCTGAATATCACAGAATATCCCACAGTCCCCTGGATTACAGGATATTATTAATGGATGAAGATCAGGATCGGATCTACGTGGGCAGCAAAGATCATATTCTGTCTTTGAATATTAATAATATAAGCCAGGACCCTCTCAGTGTAAGTTCACGATTTATTTTGAGAATCCAAGGTTGCTTTACTACATGCCTTTCTTTTTAAGACAAAAAATGTATATTTTATTATTCTGCAGCTGGCAGAAGTCCAGGCCCGCACCTTATTGAATTGTTAGTCCTTATTTTATGTGCAATGCAAGATAAACAAGCTATTAGCATAGCTGCTCCTCAAACTCTGTTTAAAAACTGACCTGTTTACTCGTTTTGAAGTGACATTCAGCATGGCTTGGCCTCATAAGGAAAATTCATATGAGTTGATGGTTTCTGCTCCTCTCCAAGATTTAAGATAATTCAGAGATGCACTTTTTAAAAAAAAAAAAAGCCTATAAGGAAGAATAAGATATATATTATTGTTTTCAGGCCATAGGGAAAAAACCCAAGAGGGACAGAGTTGCCTTTAACCTTTGACTACATTTATTTTTGGTTTGTACTCTGAAGCTTAATCGCTAAACTATTTTCCAATCTTTTGTTATGTCTGTGTCAGCCCTTGCCCTTCGGTTGGGTCAGTGAGACACCTCCTGTTTGGGGTTTTTTGGACGCTATGACCTGCATCTCCTTGTTGACACCACCTCTTTTCTGGCTTCTTCTCTCACTTATCGAGATGCCATTATCTAAGGACTTGCTGTGTCCCACCTCCCCAAACTGTTGTAGGCAGCCTGTATATGAAAATAATCAAATTATCAAATGTTTAAACCACTTTCACAGATTCCTCTCTTGTTTCTAGAGCCAGTTCGAATCCAGTTTCTCTGCTTTTAAAATAGGTGGCCTGCAGAAGCACTTGTGTGCCCAGCAGCCTGACTGTTAAGATAATACCTCTCTACAGACTTTGCCATGCCTATCTTTAGATTATTACAGCTACGACACTACCTTGAAGTGCGCTGTAAAGGCCTTGTTCTACCAAATTCATCCAATCCTTTAATCTATGGGCTTTTTTTCTGTACCTCGGGAGTATCGAGGGGCAGAGATATCCAGCTTGCAGCAGCGAAGTTAAATGCCTTCCTTAAGAGGCAAGGCTTTTAATGTGTCAGCAGAGAGAGCACGAGGCCCCGCCGGAGGGTGATTAAGCACAGTTAAATTAGGCTTTGCTCTGAATCGCCCTCTGGACATGCCTGTCTACCTGAATTGATTGTTCAGGGAGTCCAGGGAGGCTAACTCTGACTTACACATTTAAATTAAATGCCTCTCGTGTGATGGCGTGAATGCATCCTTCCTCCTCCTAATGGTACAGAAATCTTCCTCTGACGTGGGGCCGCCTTCTCTGATCTGAAATAGCTTGTGTGACCTTTTTGCTAATTCCCCTTTCACCAGTGATCCGACCACCCTCGTCCAGGAGCTGCTGTGTGCTCCCGCACGGCACGCTCCAGCCTTCCCTTAGCAGGTCAGTTTGAATTCTGTGCAGAGTTAGGTTGGAGAGGAAGGCCTCTGCTGCATGAAATATATTCTGCGGTGTAAAGCTGTGAGGCATTTCAACAGTCTGTTTAGGCCTGGAAAAACAAGATTGAAAAAAATCTACAGAAAGCAAAAAACCGCGCAGAATAGTCTGGCAGTGAATGTGAACACCCAGTATTAGGCTCAGAATTAATCTCTGCAATTCCACACGTTCTTTCGTTTGTTTCTTTATTTTTATAACAGATTCACTTTGCTAACCTTATGCCTCTATAGAAACTCTGTATACATGTGCATACATACCTGCAACTCTGCATATATATGTTTGTATATATACACAGAGATCTTTTAATGCTATTATTTATGTTATCTTGAGGCTAAATTTTATCAGGCTCTGTCACCTACTAAATTTCTAATGGATGTCTTTTCTATTTCAAAATCAAAATAAATAATGGAAGAACCCCAAAATCTTTAGAGTTTGAGTATAGATCAGATAAACATTCAGACATTGAGGTGTTTGGCAGAATACTGTCTGAAAGAAATCAGCCTGAAATCTTAGGATTTTAAGCAGGTTTTATCATAATCTATCCAAACCCTTGCTTTTAAAATAAAAAAAATTGTTACAAGAACCCTTCTTGCAATATTTTAGTCTTCTGGTTTCTAGTGTGAATAATTTCTACAAGTTCAGTAAAATAAAAAAGTAAAGATGGACAGTAATTTAGGCAATAATGATGAAAAAACTCTCTTATTTAGAAGAAAGAAGTCTAAATAAATTAACTTATCTTAAAAATGTGTAATAAACTTAATTTTTATCACCTAAAGACCTGGGCCTTTATTTTGTTTACTGCATGCTAAGACAGAAAGTTGTTTTCATTTATCAATGATAATCCTTTTTCTTCTGTATAATCAAGGTGTAAAAGATATCAAAATATTAACTTATTAGTCTAAGTTAGGCAATGAAATGTTTTGTTTAAATTAAGTAATAATTATGTTACTTAAAAGATATTTCTTTCCTTACAGATTTTCTGGCCAGCGTCAGCAAACAAGGTTGAAGAGTGTAAAATGGCTGGCAAAGATCCTACAGTAAGTTATAGTCCACGTGCACATGCACACACATACACAAATTAACGTACTTGGCAATAAAGTAAGAGCAGCCAAAACAAAATGAAGGAAGTGTCTGTTTTGCTTTTTAAATGCTCTGCAGGCCAAACAGTAAAGTGAAATTGTGAAAAAACAGGCTATGTAAACAGAATGCACCTTCAGACTTTGACAGGTGGAAAAAGATACACGTTGTCCGCTTCCTCGCCTTTTTTCCTTGTCACTAGTGGAACTGGGTAGTAGTACTTTTCCAGCCGTGTCGTGGGGATGATGCCGAACCGGCTGCCGATCTGCTGGTTGGGGTGGGGAGCGCTCGGGCTGCCCGCTCGCCCCAGGAGCAGACTCTACGGGCGGGCGGTACCCGCTCTGCTGCCTGAACACCCCAAACAGCTCCTTCCATTACTTCCACGAAACAGTGCCCCAGTAAGTATCTGGAAACCAGTGTGCTTTCCTAAAAAGAGGTGAAGATGAACTCTGGAATCACAGGAACCGCAGACCAGGGAGATGTTACGCTGAGTCATTTTGCACCTGATTATTTTCCCGTCTAAATGCAGACACCTTCCGAAGGACCTAAATCAGATGGTAATTTCCTCATACAATCTTCATAGATAATAGATAGAAATAAGGTATTTTGAAAGACCCAGTGAGTGGTACAATACAGCAGATCCTGTCTTTGGCAGAGTTGTATATTAATGTGGTTATCTTCCTAAAGTAATTTGAATTTACAGCCTGTCTATGCTTAGGTTTTATTAACAGAAGACAGCTACATTGTAAAACAAAAAGCAGAAAGTCATATTTCAGTTCTATTCAGTTACCTTTTGACTTTTTACCAGTTCAGCAGCGCCTAAAGGTCTTTATCCTGGCTTTCTTTTTAGGTCTTTAGATATAGCTGTTTTCCAAACAGTGTTTTAGTATTAGAATTCAGAATCTAATCTGAGCTAGAAAATTGCAATTTCTCACTACGAAATTTATAAGAAAAACCAATGAAATTTTGCTTATATTTTCATTTGAGAAAAAAATATGGAAATCAGAAGCCTTCCCTTAGGTATAATCATCTTTGGAACATACTCCTCAGCATATATCTAGGATCATAAATAATGAAGTGATTGAAGGATGAAAGCAGGTGTATATAAGTATAGCTTTTAATTTCAGAAACAATAGAATTAATGCAAAAGACCACTGAATTCAGTATAAAAGCTGTTATTTATTTCAAAGCTCTCCATATAATGCCTAATATTTCTATTTATTTTAGCTACATATTTTGTATTGTTAACTAAGCCTACAGATAACATGCAATTCAGTTACTGCAATGTTACAATAATTCACCTGAGTCTATTTTGTAGGAGAAATATGCGTGAGCTTTATTTTTAAAATCTATTATGAATGTAAGGAAACCAGAAGGTTGGCCTACTGGAGTGTTGCTGTAATACTACTTTTTCAAAGCTGTGGAGAGTAATTCACTATATTGCTGCAGAACAACAGAATGATTCTTTATGAATAACTATATTGGTTGGTATGGCAGTGTATCTACTTTCTTTCCTGATAGCTATGGTAGTGAAAAACAAGTATTTCTCCTATTGAATATCCTATTTTTCTATACATCTTTACATTGTTCTGGTTACTGCAGTGTGCAGTAAATTCTACAGCCAGTGGCCTGTTAAGTTGCACTAAATGTGAAAATAAAACATATAGCTTTGTTAATGGTGATTATTGTTGACCCTAGTTACTATGTCAGCTGCATTATTAACTTGTGATAGACTGGTTAAAGAATTTTCTTTTCTTTGAAATACAAAAGTTCATTAGTCTTAGTCATGTTTCCAATATATGATGACACTTCTAGGGCAAAAGTAGGAAAAATGTAGATGATACTCTAAGCAGAATGTAGGATGCAAAATATGTGTTCCATGGGAAAAAAAAAATTAAGACACTACTAAGTACTGGGCTCTCTGGAGAACTTTTAGTCTTGGCTATTTAGTGGTGAGACTTTCCTAGGTTTTAATCATATTGAAGTAGCCAAATGTTGCTGCATTAGTGGACAGATTTCTGGATAGAACCTCTGTTTTTACAAAAGTTTAATTGTGGGTACAGCTAATATCTTAGAACATAGTTGATTAAGAATGTCCATGTGCCTCAACTTTAATTGACTTTTTTAATCACAGCTGTTCATTGCAGAAGAAAAATAAAGTTCCAGAAATAGTTTACATTAAGTTTCTTCATATTTGTCCTCAAGAGTTTAAAAGAGAAAAAAAAAGGTAGCGAAGAGCTGCTCTCACTAAAATCAATGATGCGTCTTATTGAAAGCTCACTGAAATAATGAGAAAAAGAGAACCCGATGCTAAATCACTGTTTGCAACTTAAAATTTATAGCTCTACTTTAATAGCATTCTTGTGAGTTTCATTCCTGATAATAAAGGGAGAAGCAGTGAATGAATTCAGAAGAATTAAGAATTTCAAATGAAAAAAAAAGGCCGGGGGGGGAGTGCATGCACGATAACTTTGGTCCTGTCAGAGACTAGTGATTATCACAAGGTAAAAGAAGAATAGGTAGACTTGGAGCAGCTGGTAAAGGACTTCATGCAATCAGTGAATTCTTTTCCAAGGATATTCTGAGGGCATTCGTCTGCCCTGCCATTAGACAAACATTGGTGTCTGAATTTGTCATCTTTGGCTGCCTTTGTTGTTGCTGAAAAGAAATTGTCACCTCTAAATAATATGTTTACCAGGCTAACTTGAATGCTTACATTAGTATGACATCTATTTCTTTCCATTTACTGTGATGAGATCCTAGGGTATAGAAGTCTGACTTTCGGATATCTACAGTAGGCAGTTCCCCAGACACTGCTACCGAGTGAGTTTTGGTATCAGCTCCAAGAGAAGCACCGGTAGTGTGTCAATAGCTACAGCTTAGCCACCACCTTTGACAAACATCCATCCTAAAGACAGCTATCTCCTGTCACCTCAGACCAGAGTGATTTAAAAGCACAAAGTACTCCAATATCAAGGAAAGGGAAATAAGCTGAAGCATGGGTGCTCTTGAATGGCAGTCCTACAGAATATATTCTGAAATAACAATTTCTTGCTCTGTTGGGTTGTGGAGTCACAGTGCGGTACCCAGATTAATCATGTAGCAAACTGCAAATGGAGTTCAGTGGTTCAACACTAGAGAGATGGGCAAAGGCTCAGAAATCATAAAATGGTCTTCCTGCCAGACAGCATTAAAATATGAGAATGTTTGTATTGAGCCAACTTGTGTTACTTGTCTGTAAATCATTAGTGAAGAGACATTAAGACACAGTATGTGTCAGATGGTTACCCCAGAAGGCAGTCCTTAAAGAAAAGAGCCGTTCATCTAACCACTGCTGTGGTCTTGCTATAGACACTCTGGAAAGCACATGACATGGTACTGAAGCAGAGAATCAAGTGCCATGTACAAGTACTGTTCATGTAGATATTGTTTCATGGTCCTGATCCTTTAAAACTTTCACTCTGAGACTTCTCAGCATGTAATCCTTTATCTAGGAGTCTTCTAGAAAAGTCTTCTGCAAACAGCAAGAAAAGAAAGCAACAATTTACACTGTGGCATATATACGCTAGTGGTATACCTTCACCTGGCCTTCTTCCCTCTCCACACCCGTAATGTGGATTGGCAGTACTGCTGAGAAAAACATGATTTTGATAGGAAGACATTACTAAAGCCATCTTTGAGCCAAACTAAGATAGCTGGATATGAGAAAATGGAAACATTTAGGAAGAGCCCTCAGCTTTAGAGAAACAGTGTATTTTGACTGGGTTAAAGGATTTTTCTGATACAGCTGGAGCTAGCACTTAACTCAGGACATGCAGTGTTCCCTGTAGAGAAACTCCTTTGAATTCAGATGTTGTAGTACGGTACCAGCTCCTGCTGAACCAAAAATATGAATACCTTTAAATATAAATAAACTGTGCAGTCTGCTAAACAAGGATTAACTCTACTGATTTGCATGAAGATGACTGATGACGCAGTTTCCAATACTGTGCTCACAGAACACATGCAATTCTCACTGTCTTTGGTGAAGGTTTGGACAATTGAATATGAAGGCAGTTCTGGGATCTCAGTAAGGAAAAATATTCAGAAAAAATCCATTTTCAACCTAAAGTGCATTAGCAGTTGATCATAGTCAAAAAAGGAAAGAGCAAGAGAAGAAAGGGGTATGCTGGAAGGACAAAACTGTAAATCTGATGGTGTGAAACTGTGTGGCCCTTAACCTTCTGTTTTAATTTTTGTGCTGATTTGAGTATGTTACTGTTGATCTTCAAGATGAAGCAACAATTCACTGCAAACTTCCTTTGTGTTGTTCAGAGTTTTAAAGTTTTGGAAAGAAATTGTTTATACAAACAATGGGATCTGAGATTTGGGCTTGCTTTGCTTTTTAATTATCTCCAGATATGATTAAAAAATTAGGGGGAAAAAAGAGACTGTTTTGGAGGTGTCCTTAAGGAAACTTCATAAGGTTACTTCTTGTTTTCCTGCAGAGGCCCTGCTTCTTCCCATGCAAGGTACGGAGAAGTCTGTGGATGAAAATTAGATTACTGTGTGGAAATGGGAAAATTATATGCACTCCTCTATAACTCCTCTGTAGTGCCCTATCAATGCCCAGTTCCCAGACTAGGCAAAATGGCATGAAAACAGAAGTCTACAGCTGCTCAAATCCAGAGACTACCAAACTCCATAGCTGTTTTCATGATACTATTAAAATTATAAACCATGTCTATTCCCTAGAGTTCTCAACATCTAATAACATTTGCCAAGGTCAAATTATTTTTTTCTGTATTCTCTGCAGCATGGCTGTGGAAATTTTGTGCGTGTGATACAGTCGTACAATCGTACACACCTGTACGTCTGCGGCAGCGGTGCCTTCAGCCCCGTGTGTGTGTACGTCAACAGAGGACGCAGGTCCGAGGTAAGTCTCTTTTCGTTCTACCCACTCATTTTGTGGTGCATCTTACTAGTGTTGTACAAAACTCAAAATTTTGAAGATGCAAAGTCAATGATCCAAATAGGTTCCTTCACCCATGTTAAATAGAAAAAGAACAAAGGTCCATGGTTTTCTGACCTGTTACCAGCTAGAAGCAAAGCCATGACCGAAAGCCATGCCTCAAATGGGATGGTTGTCCAAAATTCCACAATCATACCAAATGCTGGGCTACATTTGATACTACTTTTTATCTCATGCTGTCTGGTGAATTCAGTCCTGCCATTTGTTGGAAAAATTGCCAAGAAATACTTGAAAGGAAATAGCCAGTTAGATAAAAAGTAAAATATGCAGTTCACTTTTTATAACTTCCATGTGTTAGTGATTCCTGGGAGAAGCCCTTAAGTGGGCTAACTATTCAGGTATGTGAAGGGTTGCTGGACTTCAGCTTAATACCCGCTGGATGCAATCCCAGTACAGGTAACTTTCATCTGCTGCTCAAGGTTTGCCCCATTAGAGTCTGCCAGGATGAAGTCAGTAAGTTTTCTCCTCACTGTGAGACCTTCCAGGGTGTAAATCTTACTTTCTCTAGGTAGGTCTCCAGTTTTTCTAGATTCAGTTTCACTGTGCATTTTCAATATACAAAGTACCAGGTGTTTCATAAGTATATTGTCCAAGTTTCCTAATTTGAAAGTGCAGTGTTTGTTTATGTGCAAACATAATAGGTAATAAATTAAGCAACCAGAAGGAGAAAGAAAAGCACTTAACCAAGACCCAGCACCTCAGTAGCTTTTGGGTCAGATTCATGTCTGCAGGCACAGAGGGGGGCAGTATATTTTCCTGTACAATGTGGAAGCAGATGTGTTGGGAAAGAAGATCAGAGCGTGCCACCTGGAGTTTTGCCATGTGAGGGCAGCTTTAAAAGCTGGGCTGGCTCCTAGGGAAGACACTGGGAAATTCATCACTGATTTCACTGGGAGTGGGATGGCAATTCTGGCCAAGACCCAAGACTACTGCAGAGATTGCCAGAGAGGTGATACATCATTGTTTCTCCAGGTAGGTTTGCATGGGATGATCTCAGTGACTTTTGGTAGATCCCTACTTGGCTGCAGCCTCCTTAATAGAGTATGTAGTCTGAATCACTGCACCTTCAGTCCTAATTAATTATCTAAAAGTAGAGGTTCATAGGCTTGGATTTAAAAGCACAAGCAAGCAGAACTGAATAAGTCAATCCGTCCTTCTGCTTAACAGAGTCTACATTAACTTATTTTGATGTATTTTGAAGCAGAGGTCAGCTGTCCTCAGCATTATCCTATTCCTTGACAAATTATTTAAAACATGGAAAGTGATCTTATTTGTCTCTAATTAATGCAATATTGCTTTATCAGCTTAAGCAATAGTACTGTAGCCCAGATAACTCTGAACCTCATTATTTTAGCTTTTTTATAAATTAAATTGGGGCGGAGGGGTGGAAATGACATCTCCAGATTATGCAAGATGTTAAATTTCTTAAGTTAAAAATAAAGATATGTCTTGAAAGAGCAGGACTGGCTTCACTTAGCCTGTCTGTATAGCTACATGCCTATGATCAATTGATTAAATAAACTGCTGTTTCAGACGTCTGGAGTCTGTCAGACACTTGACTGTAGGCATCACATGCTCAAAGCCATTACTGTACAGGCCAACAATAGCATAACAGTTTTAAACCAAGCATTTCCTTCTGAACTCATTGCATATATCAGTGCATGACTAATTAATAGAGCAGAATGAAGAACTATGTAGTGCTGATGGGACTAGTGAGAATTCATTTTTTTCTCTGCTTTTATCATTTCACCTTTAATTTAGTACAGTTTTCCATGCACAGAAGGCTGGTTTTGCACGTGCAAAATGGATATTTTAGAAAGCACATCTGTTTTTCTCTAGAAGCTACAAAATCTGACAGTAAGAGTCATATCCAACAATCATAAGAACTGGGCCTGTTTTGCTCTTTTGTCTCCAGGATTCCACATAATCTCACAAAAAAAGGCAGTTTCATTGATGAGGCAGAATGTTGCCCTTTTCCCTGAAACAGAGGTTAAAAAATTATTCATTTTCTTACCTGGCACACTTGATACGTTGGTCCTTGGTAATGACTCTCTTAGTCACCCAAATATATTCTAATGTCAAAGTAAATGAAAACAGAAGGAAATGTAATCACTATGTGAATTAATTATAGACTAAAAAGTAGTTTAATATATATGAAAATCACATGTAATCCTGGAGCTAGTTTAATAGTGCAGTAATGGGCATTTTGCATTGGTAAATAGTGGTATAATATAGTAAATATGGATTAACATCAAGCTGCATATAAATCTAGAAGTAAAACAACAAAAAAACCCAACCCAAGATCATATTAGAAACTTCATACTTATATTTTAACATTGTTTAGAGAGCTTATTACTGAAACAATAGATAAGATCTCTGTGATTAAATTAGGCAAAACAGAAGGGGGAGAAGAGATAGGGGATTGTGGATATGAAAACTTCCTCCTGTAGCTGAGCATTTCAGGTTGGTGGAGTCTCCAATTTGCTGTTGCCAAATGGCTGCTCAGTGAGCTGTGTGGCATCCCTGTTCCCCTGAGATTTACGTTAGTTGTTAAAGGGAATATGAAGAGTTGCTGCCCTTAGTCGAATAACTAATACATTGACATCTACATCACAGAAGCCTTTCTTTGGAATTTTTGCCAGCTACCTTTTTCTGTTGAAATAGAAATGTTTTAAGTTTGGGTGTTTTTTTTCCTTGCAATTGTGTCTTTTGGCCTTTTATTAAAGATTAGAAGTTTGTTATGGGAGGCTAGGAACAAGTTGTGTGGTATACAATGGTACGAGAGTCAACGTGCTGCGGATTGATGTCTCTACCATTATTGACTGCAGTTTTTAAGGAACAGACTTGGACTCAGGTCACTTCTTGCTCAGCATACTGTGCCCTTCAGTATTGCTGGGAACCAAGAAGTAAAGAGGTGCACCGAGATGGGTGAATTTTCTAAAGATATTCAGGCTGTTTGTACTTCAAGCTGTAGTCCAGGTTGCTTCTACTTTGCCAAAGGTATGTCCTATTTATAAATCAAATCAAATATAAACAAATCCCCATACCAAGATTGCTATACAGCAAAAAAATTTCCAAGAGATTTCAGGCTATGGCAAGAGGTATTGATAAATCATCTATCACTAGGGAATTGGAGCTTTATACATAATCCAGTAGATGCTATTGAAGAAAATAAATATGATTTAAGGGATTTTTGGAGGTCTGATAGCTCAGCAAAGAGCAAATGATTTATACTATCACCAAATGACAGTTGTCATAAGAGATTTTTATTTAATATGTATTATTGTTCTAGTAGCTTTATTATAATGTCCTAGACTAGTATAAGTATCACGATGTATTCAGCAAATAAATGACAAATAACTTCAATAACACAGAAGTAATCTCCACAGATGCTATTGCAGAGATCAGTCAACCTCTCCAAAGCATAACTGAGCTAGAGGGAGAAATTCTTTGTTTCAGTGTCTTGAATTTATGACAAGATTCTTGAAAATAAATGGGTGCCAATGAAAAAGTTGTCTAAACACATGACGAAATTCTGAATAGGAAAGCTAAACTTCTGATAGTACAGCAAAAGTGCCCAGCAGTGCCGAGCATTGTTAATGCTGGAAATAGCCAAGCATAAAAATCACTTTACGTCTGATGGTTTCTGAAATGAGAAGTGACACACAAATCTACATTGCAGGAACAAATCTTCAAGATCGACTCCAAGTGTGAATCAGGAAAGGGACGCTGTTCTTTCAACCCTAATGTGAACACGGTGTCTGTTATGATCAGTAAGTAAAGATACTCCAAGTCGCTGAGGTCTAAACCCCTATGATCACGCATGGTGTGGATTGACGGGATGCCTGAAACGAGCCCGACACAGAATTCAGCCACCAAGGAGCAGTACCTTGTGTCTGGCTGATGGGCACAAGGGTTGGGTCCATCCTTGTTTCAAGGTTTACATGAAGCTAAGGGTGGGTGTATGAATGAAATGCAGAAATAAGCTGTTGAAAGGGAGAGAGGGAGAAACAAAAAACAAAAGGTTGTCCCTTTCCCAGCTTACACATTTTTTCCCAGGATTAGTTTCAACTTTACATTACCCTGTCTAGCATTTTATGTTTGAACAGTTTCTGACCTTGTTCATCCTAGACAGCTCTTGTGTCTCATTTCATTACTTGTAAAATCTTGTAAATGTAAAATTGTAGCCAGGGAAAGAAAGCCTGAAGACTTTAGTTACTTTGAAATTCATTTTTGTTGTCATCTCTGCTGTAGAGCCCACCATCTATTGCAAGGCTCTTCATTCTTCAATTGGCTTTATACCCAACCAACTTTGCAATTTTCCTCCATTTTGAAAGGCCAGAAAGTGATAAAACCAACATACCTCAAGTATTCGTGTGAATTGGTGGCAACTGTACTCAGTGACTGTGAGATATAGCCCATACAAAGAATTACTGCAGTGCCTATTGCACACCTAACTGAAAACTCAAAGGGGACATATGCTTTGTGCAACCCAAGTCATCAGTAAAAGAAACTTTTTTTTTTCCTTTTTCACCCAGGAGATGCGTTATATATACTTAGTATAACCCGACCTTTCACATTTGCAGCATGTTCACAGACTTCTAGTGCCAAAGCCTTGATTTTTCAACATGTGCCTACTCCTTGCTATATTTTTGGCTATGAAGGAAACAGCAGTTGCACAGATTTTTCAGGCTTTCTTAGCAAATAAAACTTGGTGCACATAGCTACTGCATATTTCACCCAAGCTTTACAAGTGAACAATGTGAGGTGTTTCTGCCGTTCGGCTTCCACTGAAATCAATGGCAATTACATATTGTGCCAGATATTTCCTTTAAAGTTTGAGTCCCATGGAGCTTAAGAGAAGTGTCATATAGTCTATCCTACATGGTCTGTTCAAAACATAAATTACCTGTTTGGTTTTTTTTTTCCTGATTCCTCATTGCAAATATATTTAGTACAAAGGACAAGTAATTTCATTCACAAATGTATGCACTGAAGCGATAAAGTTGCTTCGGTTGAAGTTAGAAGACAGGTGAATGCTACCTGGATACCTCTCTGAACCTTGGCTGCACTTATATCTTTATTTCATCAGTGATCTATGGTCAGTGTTTACAGACACTCACTGTGTAAAGAAAATGTTTGTTCAAAGTCAGTGATGGATTAATCCACTGCTACTCATTGCTGTTCTGGTATGACTAAGTGAATCACCTGTCATTAAATAACAAAGTTTCCTTTCCTTGTTCCTTCTGGATTTTTTTGAAACACCATTAAAGTACATTGCTTCTGACTTACTGTATATACAGTAAGCTGATTTTTTTCTACAACAGATCTATGGCAGCTTTGTTCATCTTAGTAGACTTTATGTTATCTTCCTTGATCTCTCAGTTATGTGACTGAAGAGACCTTCCCTAGTGTTTGACTTATCTTTCATGACAAAATTCATCTACAAAGTTTAAATTCTTCCACAAAGGTCACATTCTTTTTCAAGAGTCCCACAGATTGGGTTTTATACTTTCTCCCTGTTACTACAAAGTCCAGTCACTTCAAAAACATTAAGCTTGAATGAATTTAGCCTCAATACCCATGCCGGAAAAGGGAAGATTTTGTAAGTCACAGCTTGAGTTATAATGAGGGGACCGAGGCCATGTACTGGACTCTCCTTTGAGCATTCTTCTGCAGGAGGAATTCCTTCCCCTCGCTTCAGAAGATGGGGAAATACTGCCAGACCGGCTAACTCTTCCACAACAAAAGAACCATTTTTAAATATAGATGCAATTTCTTGACAATTTTGGGCATCAGCAGCCTAGAATACAGCAGGAAAGCTGATTCACCCTTCAGAGGAAAGTGATGCTATAAAAACAAATTTGAACTTGGTACAATTTGCCATTGTACAAAAACAGTTTTGCATCAAAGCAATGAAAAATGTGCTTTGAAGAAGCTTGGCATAACTAATGTGCAGGATGCATGTCTCTCTCCCCACCAAGACTCGGAGATATTTATAAAAGCAGACATACCTCATCAATTCAGTAATTCCCCCCAGTAACAAAGAGAAGTAGTGTGAACTAGTTGTGCTGTGCAAACCAAGTGCTGTGCGGAATTTAAGAATTTAACCAAAAGGAAGTGGAGCTGACGGATATCATCTGATACATGATTAGCAAGCAGACACTAGGAATGCTTAAGACATAACTAATGGCACTGATATGTAATAGGATTAAAATTACCTAGTGTAGTACTATTGTTAAAGTGTGTGCATATGTGTATATGCATAGGGCCATAAATAACGTTTAGTGAGAACCATAAGCCTGATCTCTTTCAGCCAATTTATTTCATAATAAGAATAAAGCTCTGGTGGATTGAGGCAATGAGACAAATAAATAAAATCAGCTATAAATCAGTACAGATCTAGCATCATTCTGTCAATACATGCTCAGGAAGTAAATGCTTCCCAAACATGCAGTGAATGCATTAAGTCCCCTGTGTATGAATCTTGTCATCACTGGGAGAGATGAGAGCAGAAGAGTGCTGCTGGCTGCTCTGCAGGGGTTCAGTTCAGGCTGAAGTCAGCAACAGAAAAACAAAATCTCCAGAGTTTTAATTCTCTCATGAGCCAATAGTCTTCCATATTGATGCGCACACACACACACAGAGCATAAAAATAGCCTCAAGTGCTTCTGAACCTGTGACTCTTGCCAGCTTGACCACACTCTCTGGGTAGTCCAGGAATTCAGACAAAAACATCAATCAAAGGACCCAGCTGTACTGGAATGTATTCAGCCACCACTCCCACTATGAGAGTTAGAGTTTATTTTAGCTACTGTTTTCTACTCTGGGGTTTCATTGCCATTAGTTAGTGGAAATTGCTTGGTTATTCACGGAGTAGAAAATGATAGTATGTGTAATTAGAATTATAATTATATATACATATATTTATGCACACACACAGACTCACGCAAACACAGATATACATCCTGACTGATGGACTGAATTTTCAGCCCTGCGCAGGGAGCAGAAGTTCATGGTTCTGTTAATGTAAGAGTTGCATGTCTCGTTCTGTTCAAGCATAATGACTCTATACTTAGAATCAAGTACATAAAAGGGGACATTTGTTGCTCTGTATTACTCTGCGTAAAGTTCAATAATATGATTGTCTGGCCTCTGCAATACTGAAGTCAGCTTGAGGCTGCCTGGGGCAGCCTTGACAATACTGTTGGTAAAAATTGGCACTGATCCATTGACTGCAATAGATGTTGTGCCAGTTTACACCAGCAATAAATTCAGCCCAGTCATTTTGTCTTCTCCCATAACAAAAAAAAGCTTTTTGAAATATGTACTTAAAAAATTGAATGTGATTCTTTTTGATAACACTAGCCTGATTTTCCAGTGATCCTTAGCAGTGAAAGTTGAGCAACTAAACTCCATATCAAAGAAAGGTTCACCACATATGCAGTTCTCTGTTGTATTTAATTATGCAGTTCCCTAAAGTCTTTAAGAAAAATCTGATGATTCTTGTGCATTCTAGATTGTGTCTTCATAAATCAGAGGGAAACCCCATTCCCATGACCCAATACATGTCTGTATAAACTTCTGTGTAAATAAAGAGCTGATGAGTTTAAAATAAAAATAGATCAGTAAATACGGATTTCCCAAAAGCCATAACAATGCTTTTGCTTTTTCCCCGCCATTTCAATTCTTTGCAGATGAAGAACTTTTTTCAGGAATGTATATTGATTTCATGGGGACGGATGCGGCCATTTTTCGGAGTCTGACCAGGAGGAATGCAGTGCGAACCGACCAGCACAACTCCAAGTGGCTGAGTGGTGAGATGCCTTTGTTTTACCAGAGCTTTTAATGGGTTTCACAGAGATTCTGCTTTGTTTTGTTTAAAATAAAAAGCTTGTCTTCTAAAGAGCTTTTCTCTGAATTTAATTTATGAAGTTGAACCATGAAGAAATGTGTGTAAGTACATATTGTAGACCATGCACAGATGTAAAGGGTTCACTGCGGTGCATGAGCCAACCTCTTAGGCCACCCCACCTGATGGCCTTTCTCTCATTAAGACTAAACCAAACTGTTCAAGGGAAAGTGTATGAAAGCAAATGCCTTTCAAATAGCAAGTGGTCAATCTGACTTCTAGGGCAGTGCCTTCTCCACCCTTACTGCATCAGACATTGCCTTTAATTAGAGTGCTTGATTCTAAGATTTTTCTAATGAATTACCAGCTTCAGTTAATTCAAGTTGATCCATCTCTGTACAGAAGACTCACCACCACTTGCATTCAAAATGTGTGCAGAATAGAGTCCCATTATTGCCATTTATTTCAGTGGTAAGAAATTGATTGTCAAAACACAGTAGGAAAACTAATTTCTGAGTGCAAGTGCTTAACTCTTGGCTTCACTGAAATCAATGTGAAAATTCTCCCTGACTTTACTGACTCCTTCCAACTGAACTATTTTGAATTAAAATCTCTGAGCAGAGATAGATGTCAAAGGTTATATAGCAACTAACATAGCAGTTCCAATTTAAAAAAGCCTTCAGGTATGTTGAAGTAAAGTTCCTGTGTTTTTGTCTTGACTATTTTTAGGGTGACTCTTGTTTTTCCTGTGTGGCTGTGACTACAGTGAAATCACAGGACTGCAATCAGAATAAATTCAATTCACTATGAGCAGGAAACTATGTCTGCTTTCTAAATTTTTCTTCTGTTTGCTATACATTCTTACACTTATCTGAACACCCTGAAGTGTGCACCCTAAAATGAATTAGGGAAAAAGAACCATTAAAATGCCTAATTTCTGGAAAGTCTACCTGTTACATATGCTCAGAACAGGTACTTGACAATCACAATTTATTTCTATGTTCTTTTAGAGCCAGAGTGAGTCATGACAGTTGTTATATTAATTGAGAATGGGCTCATGTGAATAGAAAAATGCTGCAGTGTAAAGTGAGTTTTCTGTCAGACATCCAACCTCTGTATTGGGTTGTTTCAAGTTGTGTACTGGATTTCAACCGATCAAGCAATCTTGCATGATCATTGAAAAGAAATAGCCTTCATACAGGAAGAGAGTCTGCTTCTTCCTTCAGACAAAGGAGAAGGTCTTCTGAGGACTCCTCCACTGTCCATTATAACCTTGCTGTTAAGGATATAAATTATTTTGCTCTCTCAGTAGTGCTCCTTTGCAGTGTTTTGCGTGTACACTCGGTTACGTTTATCAACCTCAGATATGAAGTCAAAAGCTGTTCAAGCATTTGCGTACCCTGCTTTCCTTTTCTGTGTTCTGCGAGTTATTTTCCTCTCTTATTTATGTACCTTATTTGTTCTTTTCCTAATGAGTCTTTCAACTGCTTACTTTTATGGTTTGCCTCAACAAGTCTTTCCTTAAGTACCCTGATAACACACTGATTCTTCCCTCTTCTTCCTCCAAGTCTTTGAATCTCTGCAGTAATCTAATACTGCTGCTTCTGCATTTGAATTGCTTTTCTGAAAATCTGCTGTGCAATAAAATGCGAGGACGCAGAAACTTAAGTCTGCCAGCAAGAAGCCTTTACCTGTTGATATCTGGTATACACAGGCATGAGTCTAGAGCATATAGCTTAACCTGCCACAGCAGTACATAGCAGCATATGCATTATATAGCAGTTGGTAACTGTCGAATCATTAATTGCTTATACTGATACATCTTTTGGTTTCATCTTTTTGGTATACTGTTTCATTTCAGAGCCTATTTTTGTGGATGCTCATGTTATCCCAGATGGCACTGACCCCAATGATGCCAAAATCTACTTCTTCTTCAAAGAGAGACTCACAGACAACAGTGGCAGCACAAAGCAGATTCATTCAATGATTGCAAGAATATGCCCAGTAAGAACTATTTTGTTTGCCAGGTTGTTGGGACAAGCTGCTAGTGTGACATGATAAGCTAAAAGACTAAATAATTGAAAAGCCTTTGATCTATATTCGAAACAAATTTCCTGTTTCAGCCTTCACATTCATAATTAAGAAGACCTGTTACTGAACACACAGCTAGGGTCTGAACATGTTATGTATCTCTGGCTATACCTATAATGATATGGAAATGTAGAGTGTATTTCTCTGACTGAGTCAGAATAGTTACCTGTGTTGAATTTCCAAACTTGCTGTCCTTTGCACAAATAAGGTACATTCTTTGCTTAGAAATACTGAATTATAAGACAGTGAAGTCTTTCACGCAGACACACACACACCCCTCCCCAAAATCTTTGAAACACATTGGAAATACCAGAGCCAAGCTTTTAAATGGGTTGATTTAACTTTCAAATATTGTTTTCATTTTTACAGTATCTGTCCTTTCTGAGTTCTTGCATTGATGTATGTGTGAGTCTAACTTTAAAAACGTGCACAGGAAAATTAAATTCAGGAGTTATGGCTACTCCTGTGCAGTAATTAATTTACGATCACAGCACTCCTCATTGTCTCTATTTCCTTTTTCATATCTGTAATCAACTGTAGATGAAAAATGATTGAAGCAGCTATTAATATCTCTGTTGAAATGGATTTTTTTTAATGAGAGAAAAATTATAAATGCATAATTACTGCTAGCCTTTTCATTCCTTCTTTTGGAAAGGCTCAGGAAGATAATTGTGAGCGTTTGTGTATTCCCTGTCTTTAATCTGGGTCTTCTTTAGAATTTGGTGCTTTGTGATGTTGTTGTGTACGGGTGTGGGATGTGTTAGGATTGTGTTAAATTCCTTCTCTGGCGATATGATGAGGCATATGATCGCTTTTATGATCCCTGATTTCTGTGTTTTTGTGAGGGTGCCCAAAGGCCTTTTTGGAGGTTTTGCAAGAAGACTTTTCACACAATTATAGCTGTATTTGTTATTGTTACTGTTATAATGAAGCCCAGATGATTTCTGAAAGGCCTCAGCCTGTTTAGACTTACACTGAAGTCAGTGGCAGAATCCTAAAGCCAATGAAAATAAATCTGAGCCATTCGTATTTGTATACTTGTATACTATCATATTCATATATCAACACCTTTGAGACTGGCCAAATATATTAGTACGATGGTGCCAAGAAAGACCCCCCCACAAGACCCCTTATGGGTCACCCAAAAAGTGGGATTACCAGCTCCAGGAGCACCAGTGAAACATGCACAGCATTTCATCGAAACCACATTTGCCTAGCTTCTGCCTTTCCTTTTTCCCTTTCCTTGGGTGACGTTGTGGCATGCAGTTTGGAAGGTACTGCTCTTAGATAAGGCATTCGCCAGCAGAACAAGGCAGGAGCTATCACCTCTGCGCTGCACCATCTGGTTTAGCGGCTCCAGTTTCCACCTGGCACCAGCGAGAGATGGAAAGATCTCGAGCGAGCCGTGACCAAGCCAGCTCTGGACCACGCTAGCAGGACTTGCAACAGCGCGAAACTAGCTTGACCCATGCTACTACATCAGATGCAGCTATACTGCTGTCAGGACTAGAAGAAACATCCCTCCGTAGGACTATTAGACCTTTTAGAGATAGCGTGGACTTCTCCACTCGGGGTGTCAGTGAGTGATGCGGACCTCCGCAGTCCTTCCCAATCGTACCTACACACACTGCTGCTGCACAAAATCTACTGCCCGACCCTCCCAATTCTGCTAGCCCAGCACAGAAAGTCTGCTCAGAAAACTAGTTCTTGTTTTTCCTCTATCTGGAGTGTTTAGATGAGGGGATTTTGTTTAGGCCTCTCTAATTTTTATATTGAATTTACCAGCATAATTGTCTAGATGATGAGTGAAATTAACCTGAGGGAAATGTAGGAAAGCCCAGTAAAATGTTAGCTGTGTTGTATTTTTTTTTCTGAAAATAATATTCCTTTCCAGAATGACACAGGTGGTCAGCGTAGTCTCGTCAACAAGTGGACAACATTCTTGAAAGCAAGACTTGTGTGCTCAGTAATGGATGAAGATGGAACAGAAACGTACTTTGATGAATTAGGTATGGCAAAAAAATCCCTTAAAAGTTTTATCTAAATCTTGCACCCTGTGCATATTTAATTACTGATGTTCGTACAGGCCCTTATTCAAGTTGTTGACAGTGAAATCTTGGCTCTCTAGAAATTTTTGACAAAAGTCCCCTTGCAGTTTTATGACAGGAAATGAAAAAATTCTTCATAAATTTCTCTGGGTAATTATCATTGTCTTTGAAATAAAGGTAATTAATCTTGACTATGTAAAGGAATTATATACGTAAAGAATTAATATTTGGAAGGGAACATGTAAGTGAGTCTACTGTTATTTTGCTGCTAGTTAGGATTATGGTAGAGATTTTTGAACATACATTTCTTTGAAACTGTTTCTTATACCACTGTGTAACACACACCTTTTCACAATACAGTTTTTCTTTTTCGATCACTAGGTAGAGGCCTCAGCTTGATAGTTCAAGATAATGCCAATAAAGCCTGTTACTGGCACCAACAATAATACTATAAATAAATATAATTTCTCAGGATTCCTCCAGGCACTTACATTTTCAGTTCAACATATGAAACACTGCACATATTTGGTGAATAATCTATACAGTAGTAACAAGTGGTTTCCTTTCATTAAGGAATTAATAGATGCATATCTTGATACTTAAGTGCCAAACAACATTATCAGACAGTTTCAAATTCTGTATTGTCCCCAGCTGTGATGTACAAAGTCATAGTTCTAAATTCAGGTATTGGAAGATTTAGTATGTGTATTAGTATAAATGTAAATACAAATGTAAATATAAATATTATAAATAATATAAATAACTAATGGGCCCCACACTGGGGCTGCATCTGATTCTGACCTTCTCTCCATTGTAATCTCTCTCTTTTTTCTCTGTCATTATTCCTGATTCTCATCATAGGAAATGGGGTTTGGAATCTTTTTGACCTGATATCTTTATGACTATTTGGTGTACTTGCTTTGGTTTCGATGGAACCTGATGGTCCTAGGAGCAGATCCTAACTTGCTGTAGCTCAGAACGTGCAAGGTGCTCGGAGGACTGAATTTCAGAAGTTCCCAGTGCCTCTTAGCACTGCCACAGCAACTTATCTTTCAGAACTGTGATTTACCAGCCCATCCTCTTCAGCAAAGCAGTAGGATAACTGCTTTTAGTTTTCTGTATGACAAACTGTAGGAGAATAGGAGACAATGTTCTCAGCCTGAGCTCCCAGCACAATCCTCTAGCAAAGAAGAGGAATAGAGCCACAGCTGGAAATGCAGAAAAATGGGAAAGAGCAAGCACATGCTTCTGTTTTCATGTATAATGCAGAAGAGTGTAACACTTCCAGTTCTGCATGATGAAGTCTTTTGCTTTTGGCATATTTAAAAGAATATTTCAAAAATTCAGAGGGTTAAATGAAGTAGCCACATAAATGAATGGAAAGCTAAAGAACATATTCTATGATAAAAAGCTCAAACAGTTCAGTCTTTTTGTGTGTTGTAAAATAAGCTTAAGAGGTAGCTTCATTTTAGTTATTAAAAATATTTGTAAGGAAAAACTGTCAGAGATTGAAGTATTTTTCACTGAAGTGTAAAAAAAATCAGCAGATCAGAGGTAACAGTGGGCAAATTCAGGTCAGTGAGCAGGTAGTTTCGCAGTGCAGTCAACAAACCCCTGCACAACGGGAGCTGGGAGGTTTACATCTCTCAGTGTCTTCACTGGAAAGCTGCGTGTCATTCATATCATGTAGAAAATGAGCTAGTGAGGGCATCTAGAGCGTGTACTATACGACAAAACACCTAATTGTCCTGCTTTGGATTACATCCATCTATGGGAACTCTTTGTCTTTGACCTACTACAACTTCAAGGTTTGCCTACTGTTAAACAACCTCCTGCAACAAGATCCAGCTGAAAGAAACGTGTGACATGGATCCTGAACACATTTGAAAAACTTTGCCTTCTGTCTTCATAATGCTAGATGGTGTGGAGCTAATTTCCAAATCTGTTTCTGAATGTCCAAATGCTAGATTTATCCACGCGGTCCATTCATACGATGTCTGCTTTTTCCCGTTCAAGTCTGAGACAAAACTACTGTTGACTTCAGCAGGAATGAAGTCGTAAATTAAACTGGAAAATAAAGTTTTTATTAGTATTCAAAATACTTTTTTTTTCTTTTCTTTCTTACAGAGGATGTGTTTCTTTTAGAGACAGACAACCCCAGAACGACACTTGTGTATGGAATTTTTACAACATCAAGGTAAATGGGGAGATTTGAAAAAAGTTACCTTTCTGAACTGCCCAATTTTCTATATGAAAAACGAAAGTGACGGTTTGTGGTCAAGGCTGTTCTGTGCAATTTTGTCTATCTGCTGTGGCCATCGTTTGCATGCAGGAGTGACATTCTCGGTATCATTCCTGTTGGTATCTATGTTAGAGCTATGCTGCTTGGAGCAAGCTGCTCCCGGACATACTGTCAGCTGGCACTGGGAAAACATTTCTGTGGAGGGCCACTTGTTCAGCAGCAGAAAGCTAAATGACTTCAATGCAGCAAACTCATGTGGCATCTGAGAGCACTTAACACCTCCTGAAGGACATCCAGCACCCCGAAGGATCAAACCGGGAATTCTTACATGAATTCATACAAATCATTTCCAGGCTCTCAGCTGGCAGATGATCGCACAGATGGCAAATAACCCATGTCGGCTTCAGCTGGCTACGAAAAGACAAGCTTATATGGCATTTGATCACCTCCTTGCAGCCTTAAGCTCCTCATTATCAGTCAGTAGTACTCACTTACTGTCCAGTTTAGAAAGCATTCGGTGAGCTCCAGAGGGCCGTGGAAGTACTACATATGGCTTACTGTGCTGAAACTCTCCACAAAGAGAGACTGATAGGTGGACCAACAGATTCTGCCATCTCTACCTTTATTTTTTTCACTTTTCTCTTGCCCTCGCCACATAGTAGTAGTATACAGAGTAGAAATAGTTACTGCTTACTGATTTCTGATATACTATCCTGTCTTATTTAGATGTTATTACTTACTCTCAAAGAGGTTTTCTGCTTTTATTAAAATTTCATTTAAATTATTTGATCAAATTAGAAAATTATTTTATTTATTACTAATAATTAATTTAATGGCAGTTTCTAGTAGAAAAATCCTTGCATGAAAAAATATTTGTTCCTGATACACTTTTCTGTGTTTTTCCATGCAGATCCAGGGATCTGCTTTCTCAAATATGTGAATCAGCCAGGAAAATATGATTTTTGGCTATTTAATTGGGAAAAAAAGAATCCCATAACTTGTAAACAGCTGGTGCTGTCTACATTTTATGATTCCTACTGCACAGAAAGAGAAAATGCTGAGGTTATGTTTAGCAGTAAAACCACACTTATGATTAGGTTGTGGATGCAACATGCCTGAACTGGAAACACTTTTACCTAATTCTCCTGGTATTCCTGCAGTGGAAAAGAGGTTTGAATCACAGGCCCATATAAGGTGACAACAAAGAGAAAATGTCACTTTTTCCTGGCTCTTCAGCTGTTTTCTCTCTCTATTGAAGTATTTACACTCACGCATTTCTGTTATCGTCAGTCACATGGTCTATGCTTTCTTCCTCTTTGCTCAACTATAAATTGAATGTGTCACCTAGTTAAATACAGCAATCATAAGGATTTTTGCTCCTTAACAGTTCCCTTATCTTCACCTCTGTAGACCTCCAACTCATCACAGTAAAAAGAGAGAAACATCCCAGCAAATAACTACTAGTATTTTTATCTAAACCATACAGAGGGAAACCAAGTAATATTGAAGAAAATTATTTTAGTGGCATAATCTCCTATAAGTCTAACATAAAACATCTGGAAAAAACTAAATACATTTCTTAAAACCTATTAATACCTACTAAAATTTCCCCAAATACCATGATACATCTAAAAGGTTCCTCCTACTAATATATCCACATATAGCTGAGGGCAATGTAGATTTCACTTTCCTTCTTTAGACACTATATGTAATGTTTTCATTTTTTTTCTGGAGTGTTTTTTTTCTTTTTCAGTTGAAGACAGTTACTTGGATTATCTTCATCCTACAGTTAACATCAGGCAGATTTTAGACTGTCTGGAGTTTCCACTTTGTTAAGATAAATATCTCAAGCCTTACATGCATTGAGAGAAAAAAAGGAGTTAATTCATTGCCTTAGCATCACTCTGGAAATTATTCCCCTACTGCCCTTCATCATCGCAGGGTGATGGAGGCCATTCAGGGCTTGTGCTCTCTGAGACCATCTGCGACCATTGCTGAACCCAGAGCGGTGGAGAAAACATGCCCTTCTCATAGGTGACCCCCCCCGGGTTCTCCTCAGGAAGCATCAAACTTCACCCTCTTGAAGGGGTCTTTTTAAGACCAGTTTTGTGGGTGGATTTGAGGACTGTATAGGAGTAATTCTTTTACAGCCACAACCTGTCCCCCTTTTGCTTAGAAAAGCTGGCAACTGATTGTAGTAATCTAACCAATTGTAATTGCACTGGATGTTTTGATTAATTTTTTACCCATGTATTTTAGGAGGCTCATGGAGGTCTTGTGGTTAATATACTGGTAGGGAGTTCTGAAAACCTGTGCTGAGCTTGGCAGTACAAAGTTTATAAAACTCTTGTCTCACTGAAGTCAGCAATATTTTTGCCATTGATTTAACTGGGACCAGATTATATTTCTTTTATATTCAACACTAGGAAATTTTCTTATAAAATTATATTTTAAATATAAATAAAATATATTTATAAAATAAGTAGGGTAGTACCTTCCTCCCTCTTTTTTTGGTTCACTGTTCAAAAAGTTGCTGGGTCTTAAGGAGTAATGGTGTATATTGAAAAGCTAGATTAGTTGATTTTACATGTATTAAATCCATGCTCCTTAAGCATTAAACTGTATTAAATATATTAATTTAGAGGTATCTTTCGTCATTGGACCATGCAAAATGATGGAAAAGCGATACAGAAGTTGGTAGATAGCAATACTAACTTTTTCCTCCTGTCTTCCAGCTCCATATTTAAAGGCTCAGCTGTGTGTGTGTATCATCTATCTGACATCCAGACCGTGTTCAATGGGCCATTTGCACACAAGGAGGGCCCAAACCACCAGCTGATTCCATATCAGGGCAGAATTCCGTACCCGCGACCTGGCACTGTAAGTACAAAGATGTTTATGCAGCCTTGCCAACTACTTGTCTATGTTTAATACATAAATAAATATTATTTATTCCAAGAGAATGGACTATGTGGGACTATGACACTTAGTTACACTTCAGAACAATTTTATTTGCTTCTCAGCTTGCCATACAAATCATGTAGTATCTGGAAATCTTCTAGAAAGAATTGAAAGTCATGCAAAATGTTGAACACTCTTGTTCTTTCTGCTGAAAAGGTGGTAAGAATTATTTCACTAGATGACAGTCATCTTGTTTACATGTACATTTACAATTTGTGTGTATAATTGAACAAAAGATAGCTAAATAAAGAAGCATACAAAGACAGCATTGTGAGTGTGTTCTACAGTCTGGATCCAAACGTATGTAAGTCTGTCTTCAGTCTGCATGAATTTTCCATAGTACTCTAAAGTTTTGCAGCTCCACTGGGATGCTTGGGAGATGTAGTAGAGAACCAGGCACCCGGGACTTGTCATTTGACTAGGTCTAATATGCTGTCACGTACTGAATCTTAGAAGGGAGACCTATAAATAGATGAGTTTTCATGCTGATCAGTGTATCGTAGTAGTCCTTCTTGATAAGAATGTTTTCTGTATGCCTTGAAAATTTTTCAGCACTTTCTTTCACTGTATCAGGGGCAGTAATAATCTTCCAATGAATTCTGTACACCATTAGAGCTAGCTCTGTTTCCAAGTTTTACAAAAATGTCTCATAAAAGGTTTTAAACAAAATTATTTGGTTTTTTTTCTTTTCACCTTTACGGTGTAGAAAAATTGGTGTTGATGCACTTTTGTCTTTATTTACTTATTTGCACTATTCTTAATTTAGATTTAGCAAAAGTATGAAGTCTAATATTTCCAGCTTTAATGAAGAATGTATGAACTTTCTCTAGAATCTTCTCTAAATCCATATTTGCTAAATGAAGTATGGTAGTGTGGTCTTTTGTTGACTCCTATGAAGTCTTCTTACAATTTCTTAAGTATCAGAATTAAATAAGTATGCACAGAATCATAAATCATCTCTCAGCGATGTAGTTATTTTTTTTTTTAGATGAACACTTTGTTGCTTTTCCATTTATCACAGGAAATCAATTTTTATTTTAATTTTGCAAGTCACTGCAAGAACCTTTAACCATATCGCTATTTCATTCATATTCATCTTTGTGCTGTAGATCTTGTTCTTTCTCTCTCTTTTTCTCTCATACACTAATGCTCAGATACATGGAATAGCTCTCCCTGTTCACACAATTCTCCATGACATTTTAGTGCAGTTATTACTGGCTATAAGATTTAGGACTTTATGTTCCCAGATCTCTAGAATTAGCTAATCAATACCTGATATTCCACTAAGGTCCAATGCTAGCATTATTCTTTGCAATTAATCCATACAGCTGTAATCTTATGAGTTCACTGAGACTTTAAGCTTGAACTTTACCAAAAAAAAAAGAACATAAATGCCCCATTTAAACAGGAAGTTTCACACTCCTGTGATTAGTCACTTTTCAGAGTTTCTTGCTGCTTCAGAATATTGTATTTGTATGTGTTTCCTCAACCACTGCCATGTTATTCTTGGTTCGCCTCATGGAGGTTTATGAGGTATTCCACATGGCCCTAAAGAAATTGGGCAGCACAATGTAAAGGGAAAAAGAAAATTCAGATTTGGATTTAACATGGTGCCAGAAATTATCTACATTTTTCAGATGTGCTGTTGAGCTCCGAATGTGAAGATAAATTCTTAGATCATAGCTCACACAAAAAATAAAGCCAGGAGAGATTCTTTTAAGATGATCATTGCTTGTTTTCTGATCACTGGCTTTTCAGTGCTTCCTCACAATTCAGCCACAACACGGTATTATAAAGGTATATTTTCCAAGATGGGACTTTGCTTTTTTTTCAGTGTCAAAAAGTTCCACCTTTAAATGCATTCCACAAACTCTATTTTTCGCTTATGTCAAAGCATCTGTAGAAATCGGGACATGGGGATTTTTCTGCTGCTGAGAATTTGTGTTCAAAGGGTTAAATTTGAATAGCCATGCTTGCAGGCTATGGGGCATGAGCCTCTTTCCTCTGGAACGTAGGGTTTTCACAACTTCTGGGATGCTGGACTAGACAGGGATGCTTTTTTATATGACACGGAAAATCCTACTTTACAGTTGCCTAAAGAGATATTCATAATAAACCTTTGGACAGAAATAAATGTTCATTGTGTCACAGCACATTGGATAAACAAAGAAAAGGCTTCAGTATAGCTTCAGCATGATTAAATAAAGCAATACGTTCATTTGTCCATAATTAACTCCGCAGTGTTTGGCTGCCCTTCACTAAATACCAATGGTTTCTTATTTCTCCACAAGCAAAATTTACTTATGGAAAAAGAAAGGAAAAAAAATTACATAATTGGCAGCTTGCTACTAAATTCAGTGAAGTTTGAGGATAGTTTCCATTTTTCAGAGTTTACAGAAATAGTTTTTATACCTACAGCATGTTGGAGAATATGCTGTAAATTAAAGAATTCTGTTTCTCTCTGCAATCTAGCTGCATGGTGATCAACTGTGAACATAAATATCATGTAGCCAACTCCTTGAATGAGGTGTGAAGGATACACATTCAATCCCTCCAGGAAAGGGAGAGCTTATAGGGTTCTTCAGTAACATCTTTTGCTTCTCATTGGTTTATATGAGGGATAGCAAAAGAATTAATTGACTAAAGATGTTTGTTGAGGCTTTCCTCAGAACAATGATATAATGTAAGTTTTTAGGGTCATACTGAGGTGAACCATAGCACAGACATTTTTGCAGGAAGTCACAGACAAAGGTCTTATGATTTCCAAGTCAAGAATGGAAGGATAGAAAGTATCAGAGAAAGTCTTTTAAGTGAGCTATGCGGGACAGGAAAGTTTAATCTGAACTGCTCGTGAAACAGAATCCCTCTGGAGAGGAACTAGGGTCTGGCAGATCACTACCAAGTAGAATAATCTTGCTAATAGCCCACAAATTTATGAACACAGTTCTTTTTTCAGCATTTGTTGCTAATCTTAGCAGATAGGTCCATACATTTCCTGGAAGACTGTGGATGGAAGTGTCAGAGGGAAGGAGTAGAGCAGACAAGATAATAAGAAGTCAATTTTGCAAGCAATCTTGGAGGGCTAGCATATAGTGTCATTTCTAATGAGAACCAAACCAAAACTCTCAGGATAAATAAGAGTCCAGAAGAATCAATTGTCAAGGATGTCAGATGAGAAAAGAGACCCATATCTGAGCTGAGTTCCAGTTCTTCTTCCTAAAGGAAACTGATGCCAGAGCAGTTTCTTTTAAAGAATTCCTACCAGAGCTGTTCTACTTTGTCTAAATAATTAAATCCTAACTGAGCCAGAAGATGATTCTAGAGACTGGGATTAGGCTGCAGTCCCCTCTTTACTTGGTCCCTGGTATTGCCTGATGAATAGTTAATTAGGTGCATAAGATGGAACAGCTTTTAGCAGGAAGGGTAGAACGGGCACTCCTGCCTGGTGGTTAGAGGGATCCCCTGGGAAGTGAAGACCCAGATTCTAACATTTGCTTGCATCAGGTAGGTTGGACGCATGACTCATATATCCCCAGCAAGTTTCCTAGTCTCTCAGAGTATGATTCATTTTATGTAATTTTAGCCATCTAAAAGCAGGGCATCTAGTCTGAATTACTGCCTACAGAGGAAACCTAGATGGCCAACTAAGAATAAATGCCTGACTTTGAGACAGTAGAAGTCAGGTGAGGTAAATCTCTCCCTAAGCTACTAGCTATTTTTGTGTCTGTGGTTTTGACCAGAAATTCCATCCTAGACGTAAGAATGGTCCTCATCAAAATAAACAAGTTTCCATTAAATGCTTCATATTGAACAAATCAACATTTTCTAACTGGAAAAATATTTGTTGAAACATTTCTGAACATCTCCAATACTCTGAGGAGACTTTCACAGCTCAGAAATCTGGTAAGGGGGAAAATGAAAGCTCAGGAGCAGCAAGAGGAAGTGAGGTAACAGTAGCTGGAAAAAAGTCATGTAAATTAACATAGGTACATCCAGAACATTGTACCAGTTACATAGCTCCTGAGTTCTTCCCACAGTCGTCTTTTAGTTTCACTCTCAGTAAACACTTGAGTTTTCTAAGATTACTTTTATTTCCTCATGAGGTCCAGAATGCCTGGGAGCTGATTATTGGGATGGTTCTTCATTACATTTAAAGAAGCATCCAGAGTATTCATGGACCTCTGTTACTTCTCAGGCATAGAGGAAAGTATAGACAAGATCTTGTGAATGGTCAATCTTTTCAGATATAAATGAGTTGTCATGGGACCCCCTCATCAACTCCATATTACTGCTTTTTCAAATGAAAATGAGTCACAGGCCCTTTCACCATCTCATAATCAATGTAATGACTGGAGGGATATTGAGCAAATTACAGTTCGGTATCAGATTTTACCTTTTGCCTTTGTACTAATTCTGTAACAAATCAGCTGCAAAAGTTTGGTATCTTCCCATACCAATCGCTTGGATGTTTCTTTTCAACAGGCAGTTTGGAAGCATAAAGAATGTGGAAATAGGTCCAGAAGTATGGATCTTTGCCATCAAGCTGGGTTTTGAAAGTGCAAAAATACGTTTGTGTTTGCTTTATCGGAATTGATGGGAGTTCAAAGCGCAGCTATTCAAGCACTTCATTCCCATTACTGGAACATAATTACTTTCAGTCAGAGTCTGAAGTGCTCTTTTGGGAACTTACTTTGTCAACTATCTGTCAATATTTGTAAATGAGTTGGAGATGAAAACTCTTTGAAAGATGGCAAGTATTGTTAAGCATTACTGTCCATGTTTCTTACAGTGTCCAGGAGGAGCCTTCACACCTAATATACGGACAACCAAAGAGTTTCCAGACGATGTTGTGACCTTCATCAGGAATCACCCTTTGATGTTTAATCCCATTTACCCAATACACAAGAGGCCATTAATCATCCGGATAGGAGCCGACTACAAGTATACAAAGATTGCTGTGGATCGAGTGAATGCTGCTGACGGAAGGTATCATGTCTTGTTTCTTGGAACAGGTAAGACAAACTTAGCAACAGTTGTTTTCCCCCATTGCATTATAATTTGCAGTCAACCCCAATTTGTACAACTTACAGCTTTCAGAAACATTTGTTTAAATGTATTCGCTATCTACAAAAACATCTATAGAAATCCATACATTATGTTCTTTTTACTTTCTGCACATTTTTATGTTTACTATAGATGCTATTTAGGTGCAAGAGATACATTGTATTGATAGGAATTTTATTTGAGACAGAAATCAACACTAGTGTATAACGTATTTGATCTAAATTATAATATTCTCTTGAATATGGTTTGTCTGCAACAGGATTCCACAGTAGAATTTGATGCACTCTAACATGAGTAAAAATACCAAAATCTGGCTTTGTATTGTTTTGTATACTCACATCATCATTATTTACTATATGCTGTGTAAGCTACTTCTGAAGAAAAACACAAGCTGATCAGGATGTTACAAAGGCAGAAATAACAACTCCACAAAAAAAAAAAAAGTAAAAATATGGAAGTACTTAGCAGAGAACAAGAAACAAATGGCTGGAGTCCTAGCAGTAGTGGACACAGAGAATTTGATCCAAGTATTCTGAAATAATTTCTGTCTAATATAACCTACATTTTGTTTTTAGTTACATCAGATTTGAATCTGGTGTTATGCTTCTGAAGTCTGCAGGGAACAGGTCAAGTGATTCTCATACTGATCAATTTTGATTTTTTAAAATATTCAGATATGAATCACACTCTTCTGATTGAAGCAGACAAGCGGAGTGGTACTCTGGCTAGACCCTAGGATTCATTCACATCTGAAACTGCTGCTGGCTTAACAGGGCATTATAGATTGATAGGCACAAAGGCTAATCTTTTTTACTCCAGATGGTTTCAAGTAGAACAAAGGAAAAGAACTCCAGGAGAACAAATATATCTGTGAACATCAGAAAATAATTACAGAGATGGCTGCATTGCTTTTATGGCTCACATGTTATTGGGGTCCTGGTTGTTTTCTGCTTGTAGAATAACCGTGTCTGCCAACAAACTCACATGGGGCTGCGAATAACCTTCCCGTTATAATAGATTTAGGAAGCTGGTGCTAAAAGATCTCTCAGGAGCATCAGGCTTCTATAGGGGCAGGATTAAAATAAACTCTCTTCACTCTTAGAAAAACCTCCCCAACTATCAAAATCAGCAGGGTGCCCTTGTACCAAAGGAGGCCAACTGCGTATGGTGCTGTATTAGCAGAAGCGTATCCAGCCAGCAGGTTGCTGGAAGGGATTCTTCACCTGTATTTGACTCCTGTCAGGAGTACCATGTCCAGTTGTGGGCTCCCCAGTACATGGAAAACATTGACCTAACGGAACAAGATCAGTTAAAGGACTGTAGCATGTGATGTATGAGAACAGGCTGAGACAATTGGGTTTATTCAGAGAAAGCTAAGGGGGGACCTTACTGCTGTTGACAACTACCTAACGGGAGGGTACAACTACCTAATGGGAAAAAACAAATCTGGACTCTTCTCAAGGTTTTCGGTGTCAGAGTGAGAGGGATTGGACACAAGTTGCAATGTCGGACATTGCAATTAGATATAGAGTAAAAGGTTTTCACTGTCAGCGTGATCAAATATTGGAACAGGGGCCCAAAGAGGCTGTGAATTCTCCTTCCTCAAAGACTCAAAGGATTCAAAACCCAACCTGACACAGCCCTGAGCAACGTGCTCTAACTGGACCCGCTTTGAATGGGGGACTGGACCAGATGACTTCTAGAGACCCCGTCCAGCCTACAGGCTTCTGCGGTTCAGTGAAAGGAGACAGGAAAACTGAAACACTTCATTTGTGTTCTTGTGTCAAACCTTTACCAGGTCACCGTCTACTGTACTGTGAATGCTTAGAATACTATAAGGCATAGTCAGGGTAGAAGAAGCTCTGGGTAATGAATTACATTAGGAATTTCATCAAGTTTTTTATCTGGGTATTTTTGTTTCCTTGTTTGGCAGTTGATAAGTGATTTTAAGGTGTTCTTGAAGATCACTTTGATCCTACTTGCAGAGTCATTAGAAACTACCGAATTAAGCTAATTAGGACAGTGCTTTCTTGAGGTGCGTTTCCCCCTGCCTCCCCTAACATGTAACCACGTTTTCTTTTTAGTTTAATTAATGCAGCTACAGTTCTTGACTTTGGGACCCCTTAGGGTAATTTTCCTCGTTTCCTAAAGAAGTAAAGAAAAGAGTCTTTGTACACTACTGTAGAAGTACCAGAAATGTTAATAGATGTCCCTACAGCTGTTACACAACTCCACAAAAACACTTAGTAAAAGAGAAGGTTTGGTTTTCTCTTAGCTTTATTCCTTGCCAAATCACTATGTTTAGCCAGAGTAATAGCTTGGTAGGCTAGTACATAACTTTCAAATGAACATTTTATGCAATTTTTATATAGCGATGCCATTGTTTTAAAATGCTCTATAAGCATCTAGTGTCAATTGGAGGAAAATTCTACTAAAGATTAGTGGAAAAGATAAAGACATATAAGTTTCCAACCAATACAGGATCATTAATGTAGCAGTGACAGTTAATACTGGAAATGTAATGAAAATTTGAAATGTGCATGAAATCACAATATTGATAGTTAGCATTTTAGTAATTCTGCAAGAGACAAATATGGGTAATTTCATTTTATACTTTGATTAGCTTCTGGCTCTTTTTAAGTGGTCAGTGTGGCCTCACACATACATCTGTGATTCGTTAAAAAGATTAACGTACCTCAGTTTGTTCTTACACTTTGTTAATCCTCTTCTATGGGATCAGCACAGGATCCATGATGGATCAAATACATAAACTGCAGCTCAATACTTTATATTCATTGCTTTATCTTCCACATTACATTGGAGATGAGGATCATTGTCTGCTTTCTAGTTGGTTGGAGGGGAGGCATTATTCTTCCTGAGCAGGGCACAGGACGTTAATAGCTTCCAAGGTCTTCCTCAGAAGAAATTGGTACGATGTAAGCTACTGCATTTCTCAGTCCTTTTAAATAAAAGTGATCAAGTTTCAGCCACTGAGAGGAGAAACTTGTTTTCTTTATTCTCTGCTTTCTGTGAGACTCAGGAGGATTCGATAGAGATATTAACTGTCAAAAGGAATGCAGAGGGGATTTGCTTTGGTGTCAGTTTGTCCCGGCAAATGCAAAAACCAGATTGTATAGGAGAATTTCATGTGATAATTTCCTTGGGAGCCTGGAGCCCCACAGCCAGAGACAATGGGACTTGACACCTGGTGACAATTACACTCAGCTCAGATGATGAGTTACTGCTGCTGAACTGAGATGTTGCCAGCCATGTCTGTCACTGTCAGTGACCTGTCTCATGCTTGAAATTGGAGTGTTTTATGTCTTGCCAGATGCAGAGCACACAAAATGTTTAGCTTTTCCTCTCTTCCTCCTCTATAGCCTCAGTAATAAATCAGTTCCTGAATACAAGTGAAGAATAACAGAAGTATAAAGCTCCAAGAACCCCAGTGGTTTTCATCATGTAGCCATGGCATAGGAGGGTATAGGCAGCTGTGTCATTTTTTCACATTAAGGTGAACTAAATGTAGTGTTTCCTTTGCACCCCCAGACAAAAGTGCTGAGCTCACAGGGCCTGGTCCATGCCCAGAGTTAATACATTGCTGTTCTCCCTCGCTCACCTACATAGCTAACAAAATAAATCCCAGGGACAGGCGTTGTTCTTGCAGCATTCCACCCGCTTTTCAAAAGATAACCATCTCCTGTTTTCCCTATGCTTTTCAGCGTGAAGACTCCCAAAGCACTTGACAAAACTTGCTGGTTTTGTTAAGTCCACCCAAAGGGATCTCTTCACCCCCCCCTTGAAATGAGCTGATTTAGAGTAAGGAACAACTGTTTAATGGTAGAGAGCAGTGCTACAAGAGAAGAGTGCTCTATACCTCGTCTTCCCAAACACCGAGGGATAATTTACTTGGATAGAATGTAATGGCTCATTTGCGTATTTGACAAGGGCGATGCTGATGATAATTTTTCCCTATGCAATGAGTAATAACATATTCAGTTCAGGAATTTGGGGTTAGAGTTCTGCTTCAATTATCCCATTTCTGTGGTAGGCCAGGACTGAGTCTTGAAGTTTTTGATTCACCCTAGAGTTTTACTGTAATGACTTTACTCATTTCAGCTATATCTAAAGAACCCAAGCTTTCAATATTTTCTGTTTATCCTTTGGTAGATTGTTTTCCATCTGAGTTTTAAGAACAGCAGTAAAACAGCATGAGAACATTTTCCTGAGATTAATATTTGTTTTTTAAGCATGCCACCTACTGCTTGCAGTACGAAAGCTTTTGGTCAAAGTACATGCAGATTGCACAACCAAAAGATTATGCACGGGGTTTTTTATTGCTCTTGGTGTTATGAAAATATTTAAATGTCTGGGTCAAACTTGGGTACATTAAACAGCCATAGGCACCAATAGGATTTTTTTCGGCTCCTTGCTATCAAGATGGGATATGTTTTTGTGGAAAGAGATCTAAGTTACTGTCATGAAAAGGCCCTTCAGATTTCAGTGTGGCTTATTCAGAAGATTAATGTGAGCCACATGCATCTGATGTGGCATGAGGTTGATCGATGTTTCTTATTATCTTTTCTTCTCTGATGCAACACTTGTTTTCAAAGTCTGGATGCAGTAAGTGTCTTCAGAGCATAAGGTTGTAATACTCATTTTCATGGTGTTACATGATGGCTGTCTTTTTGGAAAACTAACCCTTGTTGACAACAGTAGCCTCCAGTAATGTAATAGCCAAAATCATGTAATGAGCTACAGATTCTAGCAGAGAGTGATAATCTGGTCAGAAGAGCAAACTTGCCTCCTATAGATTTGCTGGCTGTAGCTTCGTGACTGTGAGCTTGGGAAGATGATGTTGCACAACAGTGGCACAACAGGCAGCAGATGGTTTCCTTCTTCCTCTTGGTCATAGTGTCTGAGTCATTCAAACCCTTTCCTTGATGAACTCATCCAAAGCCTTTTCACAGCCTTTTAAGAAGATAAGTAAGTTAAGAGGGTGTGCCTTCACCTGTTTCGTTTCCCCTGTTCTGTTTTTGTTCAAACAAGCTCATAGTGTGTCCCGAAAGTTTGACTGAGCTGGGGCTATGTGAAAGTTCCACCCTCAAATGTGAGCTCATTAGACATTTGCATCTGTCTTTTTGGGTTTTGATGCAGCTTGAATTTTATGAGGTCTCACAGTAATACTATGAGCTGGAAAAAACTTACACCCCTTTGACAGATGAGTGAACTAAAGCACAGAGAGGTTAGGTGGCTGTGGTTGGATCCCTGACTTGCACCAGAAACCTAAGGACAGCAGAGAGCGTGGGGACCTGGCTCTCAGCCCTGACTGCTAACCTGCCACCATCTCAGGTGCTCTGCTGAGCCTCAACTTTTTCTCAAATGGAGAGATTGCAAGCATTCTGCAAACTCTTTGCTTTCTTTTTTCTTCATAATGTTATCTGTTTGCATCAGGTTCAACCCAGATTAGAGACCAAAAATAATTAAGCTGCCACTAGACTGACAGGTACAAGACAGAGAAAAGTTTTCAGAGGGTCTCCAGCACCGTCAGACACATCAGGGAGGGAGGAAGCCTCTCTGTGAAACTCCTGTCAGAGTAGCAGTTGGTGTCCATTGCAGTCCTTTTTTTATGATGTGGAAAAGTCAGGGGTTTTATTTGTTGTTGAATTTGTGCATGTGATGTGGCTCAGGGGTAGATGGGTCCTGACTCTCTGTGAGGCTCACAATACTGACAACTGCAGTGTTCACTTAGGGCTGGGGAAAGAAAAGCTAGTCAAAATTCAGAGAATGAGGTTTAAACTCAGACCTGCAGATTCAGCCCAACACCTGTGTATTTTTAATTGCCGTTCATTAAGCTTCGCCTTTTCCATTGGCCATGGTCAGCCAGACCAGGAATTAGTGCAATCAGGCATAGTCCAACTGCTATCAATGAAGCTTAGCTGATTAATACCAGCCTACAATAATGCCCTGCCTTTCAAGGAATATTTTATTATTATTACTACTAATACTATTATTATTAATTTGTCTCTTCTTCTTCTTTCCTTGGACCATTTATTGGACTGCCTTCCTTCTCCATTTATTTCCCACTCTGCATACTCTCTACACCAGTTTTTAGTCTACAGGTTGTTAGCACTTTCCTCCCTTGCTGTTCCCTGTTTCTCAGTCCTCTCAGAAGGAACATGATCCCAGCAACATTGTCTTCCATGCCAAGCTGGGCTACCTGCAGTCGTTCAAGCAGGTTTGAAACAGAAAAACATTATGAGTCACTCTTGTCCTCTTGCTGTCAGCTTGAGGGACATTCCTTCTTGTTTGTCCATTTGCCCTCAGCTCACAGACTGCTGGGCTGATCTGAAGCTGCAAACAGCTCCCAGTGAAAAGTCAGGGAATTGGTGAGCATAAATCTGCCCCTTCACTTCATGCATTCTAGTGGTGGATTGATATTCTGGAGACACAATGGATTTTTTCATGACTGTGTGAAATCATAACAATGTAGAACTGTTTTCAAGTGGATTTCTGGAAGTAACAAGTAAACGGTGAAGGAAACCATCCTGTTCACTTTTATGATTTTTACAGAATTAGCTTATAATTTCATGTGTTGACCTAAACATGAAAATATTTGACTTACACTTGTTTAGTGATCTCTTATGCCTGATTTACAATGCAAAAGATTATCTATTGTTAAATACACTGGGAAACAGCTCAGGCAGTGCTACTTTGCATATATCTCCTGCAGTGCACAGTGCTGCATCCTTTCATACCTTCCTTCTGACCCAGGGAATTTAGTTTGCTGCCTTGCCATTAAAGGGAATAAGTAAATAAGGTTTTCAACAAAACTCAGATGTACCATAAGCTTTCTGATGTGAACATGTGTAAGTGACTTGATTTGTCAGCTACTGTGCTTATAGTGGAGACATCAGTACTACTGAGAAGGAAATACGAAGTGGGTTTTGGGCACAAATATTTGCTTTTCATTTATTAAGGAAAAGGCTGAGAAACAGTAGAAAAACTATTTCCAGAAGTGGTGGAGGGCTATAGCCTATAAGCCATGTATTGTTGGAAGTATGTGTGTATATATATATGTACAGACTATTAGAATCCCTTGCTTTAAGTAATTTTATTTAATTAATAACTTTCTACTGCCTACTTTCCATAACATGAATATTTATTTTAAATGTTGTATTAAGTTTCCTCTAAAACAATGGAACATTCCTTTCTGCAAGGATCTGTCCCTCATGGTACAATACTGAGTCAAAGCAAATGGTAAAATATTGAGTGAAGGGAACTGAATACCGAGGTAAACAGTCCTTAACTCTGTGTATTTTTCTGGGGTGTGACAAAAAGGTAGATAGGAACCTACTTTTCAAATAGGAAAGGTTATTAGGACACAAGGAGTTGGCGTCAGGCATTATCAGTATTTTCTGTGCCAATGCCGGGGATAAAATCTCCCTTCAGGCTCTGATTTCTGTTCGGGGCAATGTTTGAGGACTGAAGACAATTTAGGAATTTTAAATGTGTGGCATGCGCTAATGGATCATTGAAATAAACCGGTTCTTCAGAGGCTCAGCAGCCTCAGATTTCTTTGCAGGTAAGGTCACTGTCAACATGCTTAGTGCCCTGTATGTCAGGGTTACAGGTAGTTGAGACTTTTCAGGCAGCTGAAAAAAAACACAAAAGGCTGCAACTCCTCCCTGCACTTCTGATATGGTATTTTGTATGGTATGTTGTAATGTTAGAGACAACACACTGATAAAAGGATGCAAAGAGGCAGAGGTAGACTGGACTTAAACTGTATATATTTGTGAGTGGGTTATTCCCTTTAGCAGGAGCAGAAATGCACACACACACATGCACGTGCATATGCACATGCTTCTCCTTAGCTCCAACGAGGGATGCATCTGCAGCAGTTTAAAGCTTCGGTGGGCCCTGGCAGTTAGTAAATCTCTCTCAGGTTCTCATAGCTTTGCTAATACTGGCACCCAGTCTAGACCACAGCTGTGCTATCACAAGATTTAGTTTCAGTAAAGTTTCTTCGGAAGGAACTGGTTTATCGTGCCATTGAATAATGAGAATAAATGTTCTCCACAGAAAATTCTCATGAAAAATTCATGCCTAACGTGCCCTGAGCATGTACAATTGATAGCTATGCATTTTTAAGTCTTGTCAGCTTTCAATTTCTCTTTTCCTTCTTTTTTTTTTTTTAAATGACAAAATACTGCAATGTGCTCTCTGTGTGTGGTCAGGTCGTTACACATCAATATTCTGGCTTTAAACCTTTTTTTTTTTTTAAATAAAATATATTATTATCTGCTGGCTTCCTCCAGGGAAATAAGAAGATGTAAATTATTTACTGTAACCAACTTGCCCTGCAGCTTCAGCTATGCAATTTAGTCACTGACCTTAAAAGCAAAGCAAAATTGCCCTTTTTCAGTTTATGTTGTCTACATCATGAATTGCCAAACAGGAAGCTGAGATTTCCTTTCCTCGGTCACAAATTCATAAAAATACACGTAGATACTTACCTATATTGTGCTATACTAATGTTTTACTAACCGCACAAGTCTATATTGCTCATAAAACTTTTGAAGGCCGAACAGAATCTATACCATGTGGTCTCATTCCTCAGAATCAGTATTGAGCAAATAAATTTATTCTACTCAGTCTAATTTCCAGGCCTTTCAGGCAAGAGGAATTCTATGTGCTGTGCTTTTTCCAAGTAAAAATGCTTGTCCTTGTGATTCTCCCACAGTCCGCCTTTTCTGCCACATCAGAAATACTTCAGTGGCTGTCTGAGCCTTTAAGAGCCTTCACAGATGGACCCCTCCATCTCATATATTCTTTCCACATAACAAATTTGGAAAACTGATCACAAATATCCCCTTTGGTCTCACTCATCACATCTACCCTGCAAAAACACTGCTATTGCCCCATCCTTCTTACTTCTTACTCCTTTGATCTGAGGGAGGCTTGGAACTGTATTTTGAGAGGACAGCCATGATGGAGTAGCTACAATAACTTCACCTTGCTTTTCCTTTTTTCCTTATGGACCAAAATATTAACTCCTACCAATACGTAACAGATTTGATTATTGTTTGACTTTCCTGAAAAAAAAAAGCTTTCATCTTACTTTGTTTAGGTGTAGATAGAGTTATTCTTTGGAATGTTTACCTTTCATGTCATCAGTTGTCATTACATTTTATTTACAAATATGAATATATATTAAATTCTGCAGTAGCTCCCTTTAACCTGTTTATATTGCTGTGTTTTTACTTTAAGATCATTAGGATAGATACTGCCTCTGTCTGTGTGTCTGTACAGCAACTAGTACAGAAGATACTGATTTTGATTGATCCTTTTGGGTAGAATGGTAGCAGTAATGGTAGTAACTCCAATCTTACCATGACTTCTTCATGTTCAGGTGTGAGAATACTGTATATAATATTCCTATATAAGGAGTCATCTCATGCTTCTTTCTGACCCAAAACCCTAGAAATTACTGAACTTTTCTTACCTTTCACTATGTGATAGTGCTTGCTTTGATGGTTTCTTTTCATAATCGATAATGGTTCATCTGGGGTTTTTTTTCTTTGTCTCTGTCACATGGTCTTACTTTTTCTCATCTTTTCCAGATCAAGGAACCGTACAAAAAGTTGTTGTCCTACCCACCAACTTCTCTGCAAGTGGAGAACTCATTTTAGAAGAGCTGGAGGTTTTTCAGGTTTGGCTTGCTCCTACTTTTACTCTTCCAATGTGTATGTTCACACAAACACTTTGTTCTAAGAGACTTTGGCAAGGGCAGCTGTGACTTGATAAAAGATCAAGTAAATGTGCATACTGTCATCTTGATACCCATGCAAAGCAGAATATAAAATGTCCAGTGTTATGAAGGCTGTAGCTAGCTTAAGTCTTTTTTTCCCCCTATATTTAAGTTGCTTATTTTTTATGTTGTTGTACTAGCTAGAAGGGGCTAATCACATTTTTACAAGGTAATGTTATAGTGGCTGCCAGAAGGCAACTTCTATCACTGGCATCACGTATTGAGACTGTCACTATTTACAGATGGAATCTAAGATTTTTGTACTTCTTTGATTATCTGATAATCTTCCTGATTCTAAGCTGCAGAATGGAAGCAAACCAGTGCTGATTTTGCTTAACTCCAGTTCTTCAAAGCCACAGGCCTCTGGAGTAAAGAAAACTACAAGCTCAACACAAAATGAGCTGAAAAGAAACACAAACAACTACAGGGAGAAATAGGGGAATAGCCTCTGTCAATTACTTTGGCATGTAGCAGCTTGTAATAACCTAAAGAAAATGTTCGCCCTCATGTTGAAAAATCCCTTTCAAATTTTTGAATGGGCTATTCTTTAAATCAGGTAGTCTCGGGGCAAATGGTAGTATGCGTCTTTAAAACTTAGTTAAGGGTTTTGTCATGGGCTTTTCTCTACTTCATTGAGGGGATACAAAAAGGAAAATTTAAGCTTTTTTATCTAGACAGGCAGCATTAACAATTCTTTAAGGAAAAGAATACGCTCTGTGTTAATCCTCATAAAGGCATAATTAGTCTTGCTAGGCTTTTGTTGAAGACTTCCCTTTAAAAAAGATATATGTGAGTAATATTACCTAAAGAGTACCCTTCACCCAAGTATTACTAATTCCATTTACTGAAACATAAATTCATACAGCAAGAAGATAGGTGGGCTGAGAGGAATTCTCAACGTAAACCTAGTTTCTGGGTGTCTGTGCACAGACTTTATTATCCTGCACCCTAAAAATCATGATGTCGTAACCTCTACCATTGCAATCTGTGCGGGCAGCATGGCAGTATTTTGATGAGTCTTTTCAAGAGAGCAGGAATGAGATCACTGGCTGTGTGCTAGTAAATATCGAGAGTAAGCAAAGCACTGATTCCTTTCCAGAGTATAAGCAAGGAAAGGAGAATGTGGCATTAGATCCAATGTTGCATTTGACCTTGAGTCTCCAGACATTTCATGAAATACTGCAGCAGCCCTAAACTCCTTCCAACCGTTGCCAATTCACATGATTCGCAGCCAGCGTTTCTAGTCCTGGCCTCCCTGCTGTGCTTGTGGTCCACTGCAATTAATCCTAGCCCACCGTTATGGCTTTCTTTTGTGACTGAGCAAATGCTAAATCTTAAAAAAATCCTGAACATTTTTATTACCATCAATTTTATCATTTGTTCGGATGAGAATAATGAATTGCTTCACTTGCTTAAGGCAATGAATTTGATAATTCCTTTTCCAGCTCTTTGACGTTTGGTTTGGACACAGACAATAAAAGACTGCAGTGATGACACATAGTAGTACACAGTACTGTCTCTGGGAAAGAAACGTTCGATAACACACATGCCATTTTTAACATTCTAGTCATTGATTATCTGAACGTATATGTTGGATGGTAACCAAACTCTATGCGCCGTAGACAATGTGTAGGAGAAATATGACATATTCTTATCCAGATCATGTGGTGAATATGCATGAGCTATTGTATGATTTTTCCTTATCATCATTGTCAAAGGACAAACATTGTTTCTTATTACAAAGTGAGAATAATGGCTTCAAAACACATTGCTCCTATATTGCTGAGGTAACACAGATGCAGGTTAATTAGAAGTGTACAAAAACTTGTTGATGCACATGAGTAATAATGATGCGGTTGAGTTTAGCCAATACATTTTGTGAGACATTAATTGTATATATGTAATTTGTTTAGTTCTGAAAATAGCAAAAAATTAGTAGGAGTGAGTGATGCCTTTCTAAGATATAAAAAGTTATAGTTTTCTTAGCTATGACTTACTTAGGTTTTATTGAATTTCAAATTTTAATGTTGGGACAGTATTAATAAGAGAGTCCTTGTAAATGTGGTTTGGAATTTTGTCTTTCAGAGTAATTCTCCTATAACGACAATGAAGATTTCATCTAAAAAGGTAAAGAAAAGTAGGATGCTTACTTAGTGCTTATTAATTGAGAAGCAAATTGACTTAAAGGTGTTAGAATACCAGGTTTTGTGCAGCATACTAAGTATAGGCAGATGTTCCATAATGAATATGGAGAAACTTGACTGAAGTTTGCATGAGTTGTTTTTTATGTCCCAGAGCCACTAAGATAAAAGAATTTCTATTCATTATGTATCATTTCTAATTCACTGAAAGTGTCCATTTTTTTGTTGGTTTGTTTGACAGTTAAGGAAAAAAAGTACTAAAAGAGGAAATTCGCTCTCCCCTTTTTTTCTTTAAGGCCTAAATAAAATTTTGCCCTTCAAGTCTGATCCATGCAGAAAGGTGGTGTTGGGGCTGTTGGGTCCATGGTGCAATTGTGCATCTTTGTTCCTTAGTAATAAATGATGGCAATAAGAATGATGAAAAGAGCTGAGAGGATTTCTGCTGAAATGTTAAATGCTCAAACTAAAAATATGTATTCCATGATTTTGCAAGCAACATGTTGCTCAATATTTTACAAAATTACTAATAAGTAAACGTTATTCGCTTAATTGAATTTAGTGTAATTTTTTTAGTTTTATGACAAAAAGATCAGGAGAGTTTCAAGGTTTTTGTTGATTACAATTTATATTTTAAGAATGATTAGTTAATTGTTGCTGAGTAAAGCAGTCATTTTGGCCCAGATTTTGGTGATGACCTATTCACTTTGAACTTCTTTTGCAAAAGCTCTAATTTATTATAGAAGTTGTTCTGGCTTATTCGTCCAGGTATATAAGGCTATCAGAATCTGGCCCTAAGCCTCAACATAATCTCTAGGTTTTATGTCTTGGAAATCCATGCACTGGAGAATCCAACCAGGAACTCTGCATAATATTTATTAAAGTGACTATATGCAGAGAAAATACTTAGTTCAAAGGCCTGAGCCAATAATCCTCACTGACTAAGAACCAAGTTCTCAAATCTGAGCAATATTAACTCAGCCTATGTGCCCCAGAACAGAACAATGACACTCAATGTCCAAAAAACATTAACGTTCCCCAGTGTTTCTAAGTGTTTTCTAACAGGAAGGTGGAAATATTATAGGCCTGTTCACCTGGGGGATTTCTGTTTATCTTGGCTTTATGTATATTAGTGGCTCCCCTCTTGGTCTTGAGTTAATTCCAAAGTTAATTGAAAGGTTTTTAGGTGCTTTAGCCGAGTCTTGGGTGAAGCTCCTCCACATCTGAAATAAATCTTCCCATTTCCTTCTCCAGCAACAGCTGTACGTGAGCTCAGATGAAGGGGTCACCCAGGTATCCTTGCATCGCTGCCACATCTACGGGACCGCCTGCGCCGACTGCTGCCTCGCCCGAGACCCCTACTGTGCCTGGGATGGAAACTCCTGCTCCAGGTTTTATCCCACAGGGAAAAGGTGAGCAGTACTAAGGGGCCAGTGAAGTCTGCAAGGAAAGGCCTTTGTTCTGCTATGTAGCCTGGGGTGTTGTAATGTGATGGAGAAGTGGGATGTCATTCCTTTCAGGAGCATTTACAAGCAATACCTCCGTAGCTATCATGCTTGGCATTGTTCATCACCTAGGAGTGTGTGTTGCAAGAGTGTATGACAAAGAGCTTGCCTTTTCATATTTAAAATAATGGACTGAAAAAAAGAGGTAAAAAACCATTCCTAATCATAAATATTAATCCTTCTGGCTCACGCACACAAAATCAGTGAAACATTTTTTCCCTTTGTTTAAATTCAGTTGCTCGCTATGAATGTAATTATGATAGCCCTAAACACAGCAAAATATCTCTCGGGCTGTCTGAGGAATAGTGTCATTTATTTTTTTTGTTCCTCATTTGCTCCTAAGTGAGAAGAATTATTTCCAGGGAAATTTTAGGCAAATGTGATTTCCATGTAATGCCTGCAAATTTGGAGTTTTTGACATGAGATTTATTAAAGCAGACAGGGAAAGCAATTTCTCTTTAATTTACAGCAGAGCTAATAGTCCATCTCATAATTCTTATGCAAAACAGGAGCCTCTTTCCTCCTCCCAAGGGAAATATTTAATAGCAGGAGGCTGTAGTGAGCTCTTGTATTACTAAGATTTCACTTCATAGACAAACAAAGCTACAGAATACACAATGAGGTATTACTGCAGAGGAGACAAACCCTTCAGATGTATGCCAGAGCTTTGCCCACCACGTGCCACTGTGCTCACTGCCTGCACCTGAGCTGCAGAGGCAGAATACCAGATGCAGTTAATGGACTTTACTCCTTTACCTACGTGGAGGGAGACAGTAGACAGAAACAGGCAAAGTTTGGCTCTGCTTCAGTGACCCAACCAGCTGATGACAATGTCATCCCCTGGGATTAAAGACAATTGCTTTTGTTATTGCAAAGTTTTCTTGACTCATTCCTTATTTGAGATTAAAAGGTAAAGCCTAACCTGGCCATGTATCCATTGGCAAAGTACCTGGAGTTTTTACTGCTTTCACTCAGCATACTCAGCCTCCAGTCGGCAAAATGATTGTTTTCTTCCATGGAACAAAGGTCAGAAGATGGGGGGAGGAAAGAAAAATCCCCAAGTTTCAGGCCACCTACCTCCTACACTAACATAGCTGCCAAAAGATATAATGAGCAGTCAGGTATACCCAGTCTGTGCAGTTTCCAGTGGATTCTTTGCCATCCCCATTATATACACCCAAGGTTATTTCCACTGGGGCTTGCTTTCATGCTGACATTTTGTTTGCAATTTGCTTTTTATATCAAACCAAAATAAACACCTGAAACTGTATGGAAAAAAATCTGGTTTTCATATGTGAAGGAAATGAGTTGTCACTTTATCTAACAAGAGACATTGTGAAGGAGAAAACATTGGTAATTAGAGCCGAATCCCATAGTCTAGACAGTAGTATCTGCTGGACATACTTGCTTATTTGCTTCTTTTGACACTTCTGTCTCCCATGGATTACTGTGGTTCCTCATCCAACATTGATTTACCCAAAACACCTGACAGTATTATCTTTATTTTCTAACTGCCACCTTCTCACCTTTTTTTTTATAAATATCAGACTGTAAGTTTACATTCTCAGAACTGCTTAATGCAAGCAGCCTGCCATTTCTGACAGTGTGGAGCAGCTCACGGTAGCACAGGAATCCTGAAATTCACTCAGAAATTCTTCATTGTCTCCTTTGGCTCACATAAATAGTTCACAAAGGTTAAGATCCCAAGGCAAAAGATGAAATATTTTTGATGTTTACCATCAAAAATATACTTGGAATGTCAGAAATTACTCCTTTGAAACATCACCTTTCAAATGTTTCCTTTTAAAACAATGCAGTGAAGGATCGGGTGACACAGGATTATAAACACCGTCTCTGGGTGTTTGCACACTACCTGGTATAATGTGGCCATAGAGGCATCACCTTTCACTCAGCAGTACTGGAGCTCCAGGGGCTTTTTTCATGGTTTCTGATCTTGCAAGTCATTATTACATAGTTCAGAATACAGCTGTTCCATATCCCAGCAGCATCCATTTGCAACAATCTATCACCAATATATTTTTTTGTTGAACTCGATAAATACTGAGCTAACTTACAGAATATTCAGCAAACAAAATAACAGATCTTAAGAATAAAAAATTCAGGTACCACGTTTTCATGCAGTGAATTCTGAGAGCTCTGACCTCCTAGCTGAGGAGGGCTGAAATGCCAGTGTTCCCAATCCCAGTAAGCTCCCTAACTAATTTGCTACAGAATCGTGATTTTGCATCTGTCATCCAAATAATATAACAAATTCCCGTTTAGAAGTATTCTGAGACTTGGTGAGTTTGAGTATCTTTTGGCAATAGATACCCTCAAGCAGACAACAGAACTGAATCTTAGCTCTCCACTATTCTGGAGGAATACTTCAGTCATACTGCTACCAAGGTGGCTAGAGGCACTAAAAATAAGATGCCTGCCAAAATCAAGGAGGGAACATGCCCTATATCTTAATTTTCTGTTGATGCATTAGATACAAGCACTGTGACTCTTGTGCATCTCATCCGTAGGTGCTTGCCTTTATGAAGAGTTCCAGCTGGGGGTTCTGGCTTTGAACGTTAGGTCTTGCAACTGTGAAGCTATGTCTATTTCATGCATCACCTCTAAGCCTTCCATCTCTATACCACCATTGCAAAACTATTTACCTACCAAAAGTACAAACATTTTATAAACTGATTATTCACTTAAACAGTATCTTCACTCTAGCAAGCCTGCCAAGAGTAAAGCACACTCACAGTAGGTCATAAACTATCCCTAGCAGTTGATCTAGTAAAGAAACCCCAAACCCACAAATAAAAAAGTGCTTATTTGCAGTGTAGCTATCTTGGAATAACATTTTGTTTTTACAAAATATTTCAGGAGGAGTCGTAGGCAAGACGTGAGACATGGAAATCCTCTGACTCAGTGCCGAGGTTTCAACCTGAAAGGTACTATAATTTAGAGATCCTCATGCTATATAAAGAATGCATGACTTTCGTTTATGTGATTCATCATAACTCACATTATCTGTGTGGTTTACTGGTAAAGCATAATTATTTTCCAAGTCTGAGTTTTGTTTTGATTTTAACATATTTCCTTGCAATTACGTGAAACTTGCATATGTATGATAAAATGATGAACCATGAAATACATAGTTCAGCATACATGAAATGAGAAGCTGACAGTGTTGACTAGAAACAAGTACAGTTAATTTGAGGGCTTTTCTACTTCTAAATCCCTTCAGTCTTTATTAATGCCTCTTCATGTATTTAAGTCTTGGACCTCAAAATTATTCTGAATATTTGATGCCATATTGAGTTTTGGAGCACATCTTTCAGCAAACAGCAAGTTCTAGGCCTGTCTTTTGAATTATGATTATTCCTTTCTCCCTTTACATGGGAAAATAAACCATTCCAAATCTCTTTATGAAGTCTCTTAGTTCCAGCAAGTGCAACTGTTTTGTCAGCCTGGCATGGAGTGGGTGGACAGGTGAACCAATGCTCTGCCCTCCCAGCTACCACTTTCTCCAGATTGATGGACACCAGTCAAATATGGCCAAAGTCATAGTAAGAGTAGACACATACATAAAAGCAGCTTAATCCTCTTCAACCACATGCATGTCTGAGCTAGGTGGTGGCAATGTATGCCATCAAATCAAGGGCACATGTCAGAGAATTATGCTCCTTTCACCTGTGTTTCTGAGCCTGCATTTTGAAGTGCATTCTCATCTGTACCATGTGGAGATCATATAATAGATCTGATTGTAAATTTTTGATTGACTTTTTTGAATGAAAGAACAATGCTTTAAGAGTTGCATGTGAAAGGTTCAGTAAATAATAATTCCACTGAAATGGTCTCTGCTGGGTCTCAGAAGAATCTCCTGGATCAAAACAGACCACAACAGTCACTCAGGTGTAGATCCCTCAGCCCAACTGCAGCTGATTGAGCTCTAGCTGCCAATCTACAGCTCCAGTGGGTCTTTCCCCATGACTCAGTATTAGGTCATTTATATGAAGCTGAATAGCTTCAACAGGTAATTACAAAAGATGACCCTGCCATTAGAGTATGCACCTGAGCTCTGAGAGATCCATATTAAAGCTTAGGCTCTGAATCACGAAGTAACTTGAGCTGCGTGTCCTACCTTACAGGCATGTGCTGTGACCACCCACCCATTGTCTGTCCCAAGGGTGGGTGACTCCTCTTTCTGGGTGGAAAATGTGAGAATGTCAACTGTCTGCTTTCTGGGCTGAGGGGAAACAAATGTTTAAACCTTGACAGTCTTGTGAAACAGGTTTCTTGTTTTCCAGCCATTTCTTTTAATGTGGATGTATTTATAGGTTTATGTGTTTTAGCAACTTTTTAAAGGATGTTTTGGTGATAGCCGTGGGATGTAGCATAGGTACATGTCAGTTGTTTCCCCAGTGGAAAAAAAGATAAAAAGAAACAGCAGCTTAGACTCTTTCAAAATAGAATTAAAGCCACTTAAAGCAAAACTACTATGTTGGGGGAAAAATTAAATCTACCTAAAGGACAAAAGAGCAGGGAGTCAGGCAACAGCAAGAAATCTTCCAAGTTCATAGGGAACCATAATCTTGAAATGAAGTCTTTAAACATCATAGGTTGCATGCCTTGGACTTCTCAGCATGTATAAACTCAACATTTTTGGCATATTGCGATTTTTAAATAGATTATCAAGAACTAAGGGGCCTGTATGATTGCTTTTCAGGTGTTCTGTTTAATATTGTTATGCTTGTGTTAGCCCTTATGGCCATTAGAGAAATGCATTTATGTTCTCTCAGTCTTTTTCTTAGCATGTACGAGTAGTAGTAGTATGGAGCAGGTAAGAATTTAGATATATATTGATCAATTAAACAGACAAAAATGCCTTTCTGTGGTACACCTAGTTCCAGTGTACACAAAAATAATAATAATAATGTGTTGCAGCTCTGATTCTCACTGTTCTACAGCTACAGATAGGTCAGCCCACACATAAGCTCTTTGCTAGCGCATGGTTTTTGAATGCAAAATATTTCCACATTATTCTCCTAAAAGTTACAATTGGTTTTGGTACAACCTCATAAATGTGCTAAAAACTTTGAAGAACAAGAACCAAGCAAAGTCTCCTTCCTTTAGCAGAATAGATTCCAATTTCACATATCGGTTGATGAAAGAAGCTGAAAAGAATGAGAGATAAAGTAGAGTCTGAGGAAAACCAGTCTTAGGACTGTGCAAAACAGAGTGAGATTTTAGATGTGTAGACCTCTAAGTATTTGCATTTCTCATATCATTTGGTATCCGTTGCTCCTTTGTCAAAAAAAAAAAAGTATTTCATATATGATGTAAGCTTTTAAATCTGGAAGTGTATTGTTTTCAGGACAAATACTATGATTTGGGCCAAGCAATGAGCATGTAAAAGTTCCTATCGGTAACTGCCAATTGTTCATCTATCAAGACTATAAAGGGGCACAGCAAGTCTAAGCGATGACATACGTTCAGCACTTGCCCAGGTGTTGCTGGAGTGCTATAAATCTGTCCTGCTCTCTGTTGCTGGCCTGTCTACGTACTTGCATTTCAGATTTAGAGCCAAGTCCCTTCCTCGCTTTGCGGGAGGAGCGGGAGCCAAGTGTGCCCTCTCTCGCCTCCCTGCGATACTGCGCGCAGCTGGAACAGCCAGAGCCTTCGCTGGGGCAGGCTGCTGTGCTTTGAGTCATACAACCACAGCCCCCCAGCTTGTCAGCTGGTGAGGTGTGAAGAAATATATTAAATGCTTCATTCTCCCTTGGACAGTTCTAGACATGTGTTCTTGTAGTAGCAGAGAATGAGCTCATTTCAGGGAACGATATCCCTGAGCTCAGTTATCCCATCAGCAGAGCTTACCAGCCCACAGGTATCCTACTTTCTCAGAACAGACCATGTCGGATTGAAATCACTGGTATTTGGAACTGGATGCGCTTCTTCATATTTCATTTCATTTCTCTGAAAATTTTGTGCCTTAAATTACTTATTATTGGCCAATATCAAGTTCAGATGTATTTCACTTTACTGGTATTGCAAACAGTTACTTGCTTTCTATATCAAATCACCATTCACAGTAGCCTGACCTGTTTTCTTTTTCTTTCTAGCATACAGAAATGCTGCAGAAATAGTTCAGTATGGAGTAAAAAACAACACCACCTTTCTCGAATGCACCCCCAAATCTCCTCAGGCTTCTATTAAGTGGCTGCTACAGAAAGACAATGACAGGAGGAAAGAGGTGAGTAATATGAGCAGTAGCTCTGGAAGGGACCTCAGTCAGCATCTCATCAGTCCCTGGGCCAAGGCGAGGGAGCATCTGTGTTTTCATCAGACAGTCTGGATACAATGAAGCTGGAAAATTTGTGTGGATGCAGGACAGTAGCCAGCACTTTACTCGTATAAATAAGGGCAGACTCTTCGGTATAGCTGGGACTTGACTCCTCAGCCCCAGTGATTTCTGTCAGAACAGAATGGCTATCAGAAAATTCCTGTCAGCCCCTAAAATCAGGGAACTAGTTAAAGAATTTTTTCTTCACACCTTACTAATTGCAAACTGAAGATTTGCAGCACTCAGGACTTCTTATTGATCTGAGGAAATAGGCATAAAAGCAATAACCTATATAAAGTCCAGGAAGAAGCCAGCATGCAGTAGCCCTTCTGTGCTATTGAAGAGACAAAAGGCAAAAGTGGGAGAAATGTGAAAGGTTTCTTTAGCAAGAAACTAGTCCAGGCTAAGAACAGGTATTGACAAAAGCATTTCCCCACCATGGTGCAATCACATTTTCCATTACTGCACTCTCTAAGGCTCTCAAGTTTCAGCACTGTAATATACAGTATGATTGTTTATGGGGAATGTGCCTTCCTTAAGTAACATAAAAGGGGAAAAAATCCGTTTCAAATCTAAGGCAGTTACTATATGAATAAGAAGGAACATCTTTCCAAAGGAAATATTAAGTAATATGGTGTCTGTTGATAGATTATGAATACTGAAAAACATTATTCTCATATCAGGCCATTTTCCAAGGACTTACAAGCCTTTCACTGAGTCTTTCATGCTGTTTTTCTCAGGTACTGTTCAAAAAACTCAAGCTGTGTCCTGGCAATCTAGGTGCAATTCTTTAACACTTTGCTTCCACAGAGCATCTCCCTTTTTTGTTCTTATGGTCAACAACTGTATTAGAATCAATGCAGTTTTAAATAACAACAGACAAACTAAAGAAATCAAAGGGTTAATTACATTTCAAGCTCTCAGATTTCTGAAAATCTTACCTCCACAATGTCTACAAATGTTTACAATAACAGAATAGCATAGTAAATAAATGAATGCCCAAGGAAATCAGGTATAATTCAAAGTGCAGTGGCAAAATAGAAAAGTCATTCATAAAAACACCAGCACTGGTATTCTTTCACAATGGGTTAAATTAGCAATTTCTACACTTCATAGCTGATATGCAAAGGCACGTGTGCACAATCATTTAAGATCAGATGATAACTCGACAAGCTGCAGTAACTTCCTTCCTTCAGATGATGTGACCATCTCCTGGGATTGTCCAGAGTCTGAAGCCAGAAAGGAAATAGGAGAGTTGAGAAATTGCTCTTGGTTTCCAGTGACCCAAGTCCCAGCTGAGACCACTGTGATGAGAACTTTAACACCAGGCTATAGACTCCGCAGTGCAGCTAGAGTTCTTCAGAAGTTAGCCCCGGGAACCTGCTCAAAGTCAAAACATTTAACCAGAAGCCACCTTGTGTTCAATGACAGATCAACCCCAGTTTTGCGCCTTTCTTCCATCTAGGTTCGGCAGCAGTCTCTGATGCTGGAAGAGACATTCTCAGGGGTGTAGCCCTGGCAAATAAAAGTTCATTTCCTCAGTTCTGCTATTTGAACATTATGAAAACTCTTCTTTCAGGTAGTCTCCAGATTTGCATCTTTGTCTTCATCCTGATCCAATCTATTGTAACATAACAAATAAAAATATTGAAGTCCTTTTCTTTAGCGACACTTACCTACCTTGAGGTAAGTTCTCTCCAAACAGTAGCAATAGCAGTGGTCTCTGGGAGATACGATAAAGCAAAACACAGTACCTTTATGAAACCCTTTAAGAAAGAAAGAGGTGTTCGAAGTGAGTTTTACCAAGAGGTCCAAGACTGCGTTGTTCCACAACGTTCCCTAAAACATTCCTTCTGTCGTTTTGCCCTTTAGGTCAAGCTGAATGAGAGGATCATAGCTACTGAGCAAGGACTCCTCATTCGCTCTGTCCAAGACAGCGACCGGGGGCTTTACCACTGCATCGCAACAGAGAACAGCTTCAAGCAGACCTTAGCAAAGATCAATTTCAAAGTGTTGGATTCAGAGATGGTGGCCTTCATGACTGACAAGTGGTCCCCTTGGACCTGGGCCAGCTCGGTGCGAGCACTGCAGTTCCACCCAAAAGACTTTGTGGGAGCTTTCAGCCACTCAGAAATGCAGATGATTAACCAGTACTGCAAAGACAGTAGACAGCAAGGTCAGCAGAGGGAAGAATCTCAGAAGATGAGAGGGGACTACAGCAAACTAAAGGCCCTTATCAATAGCAGGAAAAGTAGAAACAGAAGGAATCAATTACCTGGATCTTAATTTTATTTTGTAGTAATAGATATCTTTGTCCTCACTGTAGGGGACTTATATTTGTCTATTGAGAACAAATTTGAGCAAATCTGATAAAAAATTAAATAAAAATCCAACAAGCCTCAGAAAAGATCCATCTCCCAATAAAATGCAGTGTAACTTAACTAAAGAAAATAATTGAGAGCATTTTCTTTCCTAGATGCTTGCTGACACTAGGTTGGGCTCTGTCCTAGAAGCAAAACGGGGTATTCATCTTAAACCAGGTTCACCTTTAACATGCAAGTATTTAATTACAGCTGAATAGAAATTTTTACAAAGTCAATGCATTATCTTGCAACTCTGGAACTGTACCAACCAGACTGGTGGTGAAAGAATCTGGGTTAAGATGCATGCTCAAAGTAGGATGGTACTAAGATTTCCTTGCACTGCATTTGAGAACATGAGTTTATTCTTGTTTACTGTTCAATATTGAGTTTACAGCTTTCACTCATTGTTGAAATCATGTGAATGCATGCTGATAGGAAGCAAGTATAGTAGAGATGTTTCATTCATTCAGAGGTCAAATGAAGGAATGAGTAGAAGAAAAAAAATTATATACTTTATCAGAGGAAACACTGATTATTGTGCATAGTATGAGTTGTAATAAATTAATGAGTTCAGGAAAGTAACTTAAAATATCTCTGCTCATATTGATTTTTATTAAAATAAGGTGTCCTATAACACTACATAGCTTTATAAGTGGTACAAAGCTAACATGAAAATGTTCAATATACATACAATTTTGAAAAACACCTAAGTGACTTGGGTATTTTAGCTATTTTTCAAAGATTTACACTCCATTTTTTTTCAAAGGACAGAATGTGAGTATACTGTATAGTGTTTACTCAGAAATGAAAAACGTAAGTTATCTTTAATCTGTTTCATGATTCAGTTGGAGCTGGTCTACAATGTGGAAACAAGTCATGAGTGTCTTTGAAAATTTTAAAATATTATTTTTTCAACTGTTTTTTCGAAGCTGCAAATATTTTGACTAGAAGTTTTAAATTAAGCCATTTCCATTTTCCAGTCTTTGTACCCTTTTTCATTTCAATGTTATTTTCATAATTTCCTCTTATTTTCCATTTTCTGCTGAAAAGATCAGGGGAAAAAAAAGGAAAAAAAAAAAAGAATGAGGGAAAAATATAAAACTGAAAAATGGGTTTGGGTCAAAACCCAAAAAGTATAACAACTTGAGAAGCATGTTTAAACAGAAATATTTTTGTGTAAGAAGCAGCTGTCAAGTCTAATGAAGTATGTTTAGTTGAAAACTGAGTAAATGTGCATCAAGCCATCCTGGGAAAAACTATCACTTTTTTTTTTTTTTTTGAGCAACACTAATGCCAAAAAACAGGCACAAATCTTCCTCATTTTACTGGGTAAGAATGTTCCGAAAGGCACCGAGTCTGTTCAAAGGAGATAGTTAACAGGTATTAAAAATGTATTAGTACCTTAGAAAAATTGTGGTTTATTCCACGATATTTTATGATAGTATACAAAAATATAAAGTAGTGTTCAGCTCAAAACTGAGCTATGTTAAGCTCAAAAAAAAAAAAAAGATGGTAAATTTCTGGAAAGAAAATTGAAGTGAAAATAATTACTGAACCCAAAGAAGATAAGAAAAAATATTTTTTAAATGTTGCTAGTTCCAGCAAGTAGCAGATGCATACTGTATTTTAAAACATAGTTTTAAACATTTTGATGGGTCTTTGTTGAAACTCTCTGGGCATTATTTTGATTCTGCTTCTGTTGGAATATGCTGGGAGTAACTCTCCAGGGTGTAGAACACCTCTGGGTTTGTGCCAGTGTGAATTAAGACCTAGTGCAGTGGAGGTGACTCTGGTATTTACCTGGTATCAGTTAGATGTGTCACTTTATCACCACCTGATGCAGAATAGCTGGGAAGTAGGCCCTGATTGATCAAACCACTTAAACACTGTCTCCGAAGTCCCTTTGACGCTGGTGGGAGCTCTTTGAATTTAATTTGCGTGCTTACTGCTTGCTTCAAAGGGGATGGCAATGCCAGCCTGCTCATATATTGCCATCTAGTTAAGTGCTTTCCTTAATCAAGGCCTGAATGCATATTTCTGCAATATGTAGCCACTGGTATCTAAGGTTCTTCTGGTGGAAACCATTGGGAAACTTTCTCTGTGACTTCAGTGAGCTTGGATCTGGCCCCAAGAGCTGGCAAAGCAGACTCTGGAGAAAAAAAAGGAAAATGAGATGGGTAAGGCAAAACAAGTATTCTACTTTTTTTTTCCCCAGCTGACTTTCAGTGCAGCAAACTACTTTTTTTTTTTTTCTGAGGATGACTGACTTCTGAAGTGTGTAAGTGACAAACCAAAAATCGAGTGCCACAAAATAGAACTACCTCCTGGAATGACATTAGTGCATATACTCTGTATGCTGCCATGCTCTTCCTATTTTCCCAGCAGATTCACTGCAGAGTTTGTGTGATATTAATGTCTATTGTGAGGATCATAATTGCTTCCAGATGGAATAGTGATTAATAGGTATTTAAGGGTACAATTTACCCTTTAAGTGGTTAGGTATAGTGATATTTTAATAGGCCCCCATTAGGCCTCAGAAATTATAGTTACACTGTTTTCTAATAGAATATTGGCAATAAGGGATTCCGTTAAAACAATCAGCATAGTTCAGAGTTTCATATGATTATAAAATAATATTTTTAAAGCTGCTTCATATACCATTATTATGGTATGACTGTTTAAGGGATTATACTTAAACTAACATTTTTCCTGCTGCATGAAGACTTCAGCATATATATAATAAGCTTCTGTCAGTGCATAACTGGTCCAAGCTTCCATGCTTTAGCAGCCTTCCCCTGTGTATAGAGTAGTCAGGAGCCAGATGCTCAGCTGGTATAAACTAATGTAACTTCCTTGCTGTCCATTTAGCTACTGTGGTTTATATCAGCTGAGGGTTTGGACCTAAATGTACAGAATAGACAAACTGCAATTTTTATGTGTTTAAAGTAGCCCCTCTACTGTAGGTAACACCAAAACTTAAGACTGTAATATTGTTTGTGCTATTTAATACTTCCTATTTTAAGGATTACTAAATAATGTACATAATTTTTTTCCTTAAAAAATACAAAAGCAAAATGACTTCTAGGCATAACTTCACCAAATGTAAAGATATGTTCTCTGCTAAGAACTTCACCATGTACTGATATTTTTTTGGCTATTTTTATTTTGTGTAGTTTGTAAAGTTTGCTGAAATCTTGACCTAACAATGTGTTCTTTGCAATTGTTGTTACTGTAGATATGCGTGTTTTATTAAGAAAATCTTGTTTTTAAAAGTGTAGGTATGTGTACAAGTTCCTAGCATGATGAAACTGTCATTACAGTGAATATGCATTATATAGTGTGCAAGAAAGAACAAAATGTAGTTTAACATAGTGCTATTTAATTGAATATCTAAAATACTATTTGCCTGACAAAATAAAGTGTGTTGCAACAACTTAAAAATTTGTTGTTTTCCCCTTTATAGATGTGTGTTAAAAATAAGAAACTTGATTTTTTTATCTGAAAAGCAATCCCGTAGACTTTCTTAAACAAGTCCAGAAAACCACTCACAGTGTCAGGTATGGCAGCTGATCAATTCTGAGCACTGCTCTACGCTGAACACTCAGTCACAGAGGTTTCCAGGAGTACATGAAGAGTCAGAGATGAATTCTTTCAGAAATTATCCCATATAAAGACCTTGCATTTAAGCAGGTTAACATTTATTCATAGTATTCACTGTAAAAAAAAAAAAAAAAAGAAAAGAAAAATTGGTTTTCTACTAGAAGTATAAAATCAATCAGAATATCTGACTAAAAAAGGGGAGTGAAGTGTAAATGCTTTCTGCTTTTATTTCACTAGGGAAAAAAACACAAAAACCTCCAAGCAAACTAAAAACCAGGCGTGTTCTGTGAAATTCTGCCGATGAAACAAATTGTGGTGTTCGGCTTTTTCTTTCAGCTGGGACTCAGCATTCTCCAAGCAGCTCTGCAGAGGAGGCAGGCTGGGGGGGCTGCGCGGCAGGGAGCCGCAGCTCTCTCCTATTTCCTGGCTTGTACTTGGAGTGAAATAACTGCATGACACCTACAATATTCTCCTTTTCCCTGCATCTATCATCCAAGCAGTGTTATTACTGCTCTTCTTATCATCTGTTTTTCCAGATGGGTTTTAACAAGAAAGCATAGGGCCTCCTCAGTTCTTTGGGATAATAATTAAAAATTAAATGTCACAAATACTGACCTTCACAACAAGGTTCTGGATCGTTAAACCTGGATTTTGATTTCCCAGATAGATAGGTTCCTGCAAGGCTTTATGAGGTGTGAGTGGGTAAGATTACCTCACTCCAGGATTTCCGTACTGGCTGGTTCTTAGATGTGCTGATACTGGATAGTTACCTGCTCAGCACTCAGGCCAGTTTGGGTCGGAAGCTGAGGTTTCGAGCACTCCCACATGCTGTAGGAAATGTTTGGATTAGGCTCCAAAAAAGCTGGGCATTTACAGAGTTTACACGCTGAGAAACCTTTCCCAGATCTGATCCTGTCTTTATATCCTGCTCAGTTGTCTTTTTCTGATCTTTTCCCCCTTCTCTTTTTTTCCCCCTCCTGCAGGGTTGCAGCATGGTTCAACATTTATTGCTTTGATTCCTTAGCTCCAAGCAGTGGCAAAACAAGACAGGGGACTTCTCCAGACATCAGGTGTGAGATCTTCAAAGATCTGAGCTTTCTCCTTTGTCTGTCAAATGTCTGTTGGAATTTTTTATTATTTTTTTTTCCCATCCGGGAGCTACTGGTTTTGCTAAGGTCTCTCTTCTGGTGACAAAACCTTTCTAAGGTCCCCCTTCAAGTGAAAGCGGGGTGCAAGACCCACATACTTATACAGTCTGTTGTGATGCATGTGCCCATGCAGGATCCCTATGGGACAGAGCAGTGTCAAGTGCAGCCTCCTCTATGCAGCCACAGAAGCCCAGAGGGAACCAGTGAAAAATGCTGCCTGCACAGGAGGCACCACTAACAACAGGCTGGCTCCCAATGCTACAGGATGATTGTTGCCTCTGGAATTAATTGTTGCCTCCAGAATTAAGTCAGCAGATGTAATTCTTTCTGTGGGGCAGGCCATAAAAGCAGGTTGAGACATTGCGGCTTTTGCCTAAATCAATCGCCTAGGTCTCAGGAGACCAATACTTCTTTATCCTTTGCACTGCAGCTGGCTTGCGAAGCCCTTCTCGTGCACCCCGACACGGTCTGGGGAGAAGTGACTTCATGTGATATGAGCCCAAGTAAAACTACACACAGATACTCACCAGCAGGTTCCAGATAGATACATGCGTACATACAACTACCTGCATACAGAGGAGCTTTCCCTATACAGTATTTGCTTTT